GCTGAGGACGGCATTCCGCTGAGTCACAGCACGGGTGTCCGAGGTGATCCTGGGACTGACGTCTGGCGCCCCCTAGCGAGGCTTGAGCGCAATTCTGGTCCCCACCCGGCGCAGTCCTGGGAAGCTTCTGGGGTCCCTGTCTCTCGCAGTGCGTCTGCCCGCCCGCTCCGTTGAGTCACGGACCCCGGACCAGCCTCACTCCGGTTCCCCCCAAACTCCCCTCCCACTCCCCTTTATACAAAGGAATGATAGCTTGTGGGAAACGCAGCGGTGTGACACAGGAGTTTAAAGGTGGGTTTTAGTGTCACAAGATCTGAGTTTGAACCTTGCCCGCTCTAGCTATGAGGGTTACCCAGTTTCCTCAGGTATGAGAAGGTACTAATTCTTTCTCCTGGAGTGGTTGCCCTTCAGAGTTTAGCCTGTAAACTCCTCAGGCAGGAGTTTAGAAGCCACCCTATTTAATTACCCAGCTACCAAAGGTTGTTGAGGCCCCTCCCTTACCCAAGGAGCTCCCCAGAAACTCCAGTGCTGGTTACTAAACAGTGTTGCCGTGAGCAGGACCCAGACAATGAGGGACGCCTGGTGTATCTTTTCCTTAGCAAGAAACGCCCCCAGACCCGAGACCTGCAGTCCAGGGAGGTACCCTTCTCCCTTGGGAAGAAGGTTGGAAGATCTGGGAATTGGGAAAGACCAGGGCTTCCTTTTGGAGCCTGCAGGGACGTTCTCACCAGGGAACGGCTAATTGATATTTGTAGACTTCTGCAAGTCAGCCCCAGATGGGGGATCAGGCCCCAGCCCCATTGGGCACCTTGCCCCCAGGGTAGCAGGGTGGGAACCCAGAGGGCATCAGTCAGGTCCTTGGTAGACTGAAGTGTCTTAAAAACCTGTCAAGTCCCGGGGGTCCCTTCCGGCTCTGGGATTCCCATCCTGCCCACCTTAAAGGTTTCCAGTGAGCTCAGCAGCTCTGCCATGGAAAGGAACCCAGGGAAAATGGCAGACATGCGGAGGAGAGCAAGCATGGCTCCAGGAGGGCTCCAAAGGGGCCAGTGAGGGGGTCAGCTGCTGGGGGTTCCCTTGTCCACCTCCGGACACTTTAGAGGGCCACCTGAGATGTCAGATGGGGTGTATGGAAGACTTGTAGGCCGCTAGACAAAAGGGCCGGTGTCTTTCAGCCTGGGAAGTCCCTGTTCTTTGGAAACAGGAGCGCCTGGGGGCTTCATCTCCGCATTCCCAGGCCTCGGAGGGTCTGGTAAAGGTATGTGTTACATGTGATTAAATGTGATGAAAATGGCAATGTCAGCGGGATAGCCTGCAAGGGCACCCAGGGGCCTGTGGGGAGCACACAGTGAATAGCTCCTGCTTCAGCGGGTACCTGGTAAGCACTTCCTGATGCCGGGTCTTGGGGTTCTGAGGCATCAACCTAGACAGGTGCCCAGTGGGGCTCGTCTGCACCTGTCATCAGTGTGGGTCATAGGCTGGGGAAAGGGCCACTCCCTCTTGCTCGCCAGGGATCTCTTCTTTCTGGGGTTTTGGTCCAATGGACCCTCAAGGATGTTCCAGAACATTCTTTCCTTTCCTCACCATCCCTTTCTCCCTTCCTCTTCTCCTTCCTTTCTCCTGCCTTTTCTATGGTGCAGATGGAACACAGTACATGCTAAGCTAGTGTTCTACCATGGAACTACATGCCCATCTTGGCTTGGCTCCTGGGTCCTGAAATCCCCAGCTGACCTAGCCCAGCCTGGATGGTATAAAGAAGGACAGCTGCCCTCCCAGGACTGGGGGACTTCCCTACTTATACGGTTTTTCCTATTCCCCACAAAGGAAAGGAGCAGCCCTTGAGACGTGCACAGCTTGTTTATTTTACACAGTGAATAGTAGCCTGTGTTTTTAAGGATGACTTAATTTCTGCTCAGACCCCTGTAATTCATCGCACTTCCAGAGGGTGTGTCTGGCCCTCTATAGCCCTGAGCGGATGTTGGGGGTGTGTGCAGGGGCAGAAGGATCATTAGGTCATAGCATGGATGGTGGTGTCTGAGGGGGTCGAGTGGGACAACTGACCAATCAGACACACCCTGGACCGTCATCCCCAGCTGGCAAACTCCGGGGCATCACCCAAATGCTTGAGCGATGCTTGGCTCTCCAGCTGCGAAGTTCAAATGTATAAAAACTTCTAGGAATAGCCGAACTCAACATGGAAAGCAAGCAGAACCCCACACTGAAGATACAGGGAATACGGCCAAACCACCCTGAGTGTGAGTGATCTCATCTGATCCCAGAATCTAAGCAGGGTCAGGCTTGGGTGGGAGAATACAGGGAGAGACTACAGAGCAGGGATACTTGCTGGCAACTCATTTATTTTTAAATTATTGTTGTTGTTATTATTATTTGGAAGGGTATTGAAAATATACTGGAGCCGGACGGTGGTGGCGCTCGCCTTTAATCCAAGCACTTGGGAGGCAGAGGCAGGCGGACCTCAGTGAGTTTGAGGCCAGCCTGGTCTCCAGAGTGAGTTCTAGGTCAATCATAGTGAGACTTTGTCTTGAGAAAAGAAAAAAGGTGGACAGTGAATGAGGAGAAACACCTAACATAGACCTCTGGCCTCCATTTGCACGTGCATACATGAGCACATGCACCCTCTCAAGTGTGTTGGTGCGCACACACACACACCAGTAACTTAGTAAACAAAATGGAATACCTCTGTATTGAAAAAAAGAATCCCCTAGTCTTTAAAGCGAGTTCCAGGACAACCAGGGCTCCTTTACACATAGAAGCCCTGTCTTGCAAAACCAAACCAAAAATAAATAAATAAAAATTTAAGACTCCATAAAAACAAAGATCCATGAGAAAATTTTAATTTTAATGTGAGTCAGAAGGGGCGGGAGAAACATCCATATCATATAAGCTTATTGTGTTCCAGTTGTTTCTGCTTTGTTTTCTTTTTCAACTTGACACAAGCTAGATTATGAGGAGGAACCTCAGTTGAGAAACTGGCTCCGTCAGAGTGCCCGCAGGCGAGTCTACAGGGGTATCTTCTTGACTGATGATTGGCATGGCTAGACCCCGCCCACTGTGGGCAGTGCCACCCCTGGGCGACGATCCTGAGTTGTGGAAGAAAGTAGGCTGAGCAAGCCGTGCCGATCAAGTCAGTAAATGTAGTTCTTCCATGGCCTCTGCTTCAGTTCCTGCCTTGAAGTTGCTGTCTTGAGCTCCTGCCCTGGCTTCCCTCTGTGGTGTGTGGCCTGAGAATTGAAAGATGAAATAACCCTTTTTCTTTTCCAAGTCACTTGTGGGCGTGGTGTTTTATCACATCAGCAGAAACCCAATTCAGACAAAGTGAGCGGAATGGCCGAGTAGGACCTGGTAGCCTTGGAGAAGGGACGTTGTCTCTCAACAGAACTGCCCTGTTGTCCAGCCCCTTCTCCTGTCCCTATGGTGTCCCTCCACCCTACCTCTCTTTGCCCAGCCAACCAGGCCCCTGCCTCAAGTACACTTGTGGATTCTAATCTTCCAGTCTAACTTTGGAAGTCAGTCTACCGCTTTCTAAGGTGCAATCCCTGAGCCTACACCTTCCTTTCCATCTCCTCTACCCACCATCTAGTTCTGGCCTTTAAACTTTCCCCCGGGACCATGGCCGTCACCTCCCTGCCAGCAAGCACTCTTACTCTCCCTTTAGCCCTGCTCATCGCCGCCAAGTTCACCTTAGGACAGCTCTTTGGTGCTGTCCCTGGGGATGAGCAGAGTCTAACCCAGCCACTTCACCCTCCTCCAGACACTGCTATGCCCTGCAATTTAGTCTGTTCATCACTGACTGGGGGGACATGCAGGGGCTGGAGGAGGGTGCTGGCTGCCGTGGCAGAGGCAAATCTTCCTGTCTAGATGCAAGGCAGGGTGCTACCTGGGGTCCAAAGGGAAGACGGTTCTCTCTGCAAAAGTGCTCTCTTGGCTTTGTGCCCATCTTCCCTGTCTGGGGCCTGGCATATAGCCCAGTTGTAGACGCTTGCCTAGGAAGCAGAGCCCTGGATTCCACCCTCAGCACTGCGTGAACAGACACAGTAGTAACTAGTTTATGTAAACCACTCGGGAGGTGGAAGTTTAAGGCCATCTTTGGATGCGTAGCTAGTTTGAGACCCACCTGGGATACCTGTGACCCTGTCTCCGCAATCCATAAAAGGAGTTCCAGAGTCAGAGACAGGAGCTGAGATTGGGGTAGGGGTGTGGCTTACAGATATTAAAAAAAAAAAAAATACAGGCTCGGGTGCTGGAGAGATGGCTCAGCCGTTAAGAGCACTTGGCTATGATTCCAGAGGACCCAGGTTCAATTCCCAGCACCCACATGGCAGCTCACAACTGTCTGTAACTCCAAGATTTGAAGCCCTCACTCAGACATACATACAGGCAAAGAACAACAATGCACATAAAATAAAAATAAATTTAAAAAATTTAAATACTTTAAAAAAAATAAAAGACCCATGCTGAGCATGCATGGTATTAACTAGCCGATAGCCAGACAGGCCATGGTCCCGGGCAGGCCATAGTCCCAACCATCTGCCTGAGAGGCTGAGACAAAAGGATCCTTTGAGCCCAGAGGTTTGCAGAGCTGGTTTACAGTCAGTTGGCATTCACAGAACAACATCATCCACTCTTTCCTGACAAGAGAGGCCGCCAATCACCTTCCCTCCACAATGGCTGAGCTACTCTCTAGTCAACAGCACTTCCCAGTGACGTGGAAAGAGCAGGGGATGGCCACAGGTCAGCCGCGTCACCTGGTGGCTTTGGATATGAGCTAATGTGATGGCAGATGACTGACAGGGACATTGGCCACTCAAAGAGACTGAGCATCAGTCTTCTGAATGGGAAGTGAGGAAACTGAGGTCCTCGTACTGTGACTTGGGAGGAAGGGTGCCTCTCTCCTTGTTCCCCAACTCTACTGTCCTAAGAAGTCAGGTCCCTGGGCTCAGCATCCCAACCATAACTCTCTCTCTTGCCTTATTTTTCTCCAGGCTTTGAACCAGTATGGCTGAACCCCGCCAGTTTGACACAATGGAAGATCATGCTGAGGGCTACACTCTGCTCCAAGACCAGGAAGGAGACATGGACAATGGCTTAAAAGGTCAGTGAACAGCCATGCAGAGCGGGCCAGTCACAGTGGAACACAGTCCATGTCTGCTTTAGCAGGGGCTAGCAAGAGGGGGTCAAGTCCCACTTTTTAAAGGAACGGTTCATAATTTGTCGTATTCGATCATTAGTTTGAGTGGGCTAAGAAAAGTCAAAACTCATGTTTGAGAATTCACCTCCCCAGACAGTGCGACAAAGACTGGGGGAGAAGTTGTCACTCTTGGCTCTCCAGGACCGTCAGACCCTTAGCTACACAAACCTGGCTATCTGGCCATCTGGGAAGAATAGATTCCTCTGGGTTTCTGAGTATATCCACATTAATGAACTTCCTCAGCAGTGGGGCACAGCACGGTGCCGCTGGTTGGTAATTCCAGTACTCAAGAGGTAGAGGCAGGAGGATTGCTGCAAGTCCAGAGCCAACCTGGTTTACACAGTGAGTTTCAGTTCAGTCAGGACTGCATAGAGAGACCCCGTCTTGGACTGCCTTAGAGGCGGTTCAATGGATCAGAGCACTTGCTGCTCTTCCAGAGGACCTAAGTTTGGTTTCCAGCACCCACAGCCATCAGCCCACAAAATCTGTTGTCTCCAGCTTCGGGGAGCTAACATCTGTACTTATGTGGCATTTCCGGATTCGCACACACGTACATAAATAAAAAATAATAGAAGTTAATTTTTAAAGCACTTCTCAAGTTTAGTTTAATTCATTAAAACTGCAGTCTGTAATGTGGTCCTCTTGGTCACTGGTTGTCCATTTCACTGCGTGCATGTGTTTGGGAGCTTGGGGGTTCTCTCTCTCTCTCTCTCTCACACACACACACACACACACATAGGCACAGTTTCTATGATAACACTCTCTACACCTCTTCACAAAACAAAATCCAGCAAAATTATTCTATACTAATATGCCACAGAGAGAGAGAGACTGAAATTGCTACCCCTTGGAAGGTACTGTGAAACAAAAGTGTGTTGTCCTACCCATAACTGTGCTCCCCCAAAAGAGCCAAAGAAGCCTAAGATTTCCGTCAAATTTAGCCTTGCTGCTGAGGGTTTAGGATGGGCTGTTTGTAGGTGTGGGGTTGCTCTGACTTGCAGAAAGGATCACAGTTCTAACAACACTTCAGGAAAGTGACAAAAGGCTGTTTGGATTAACGGTGAGAGCAGAGAGTGTCTAAGTGGGTGCTAAAAGCTGGAACAGGACTAGATGTAGCCAGAGAGGCTGTGGGTGGGGCAGCTGGTCACGCACGTGTGGTCACACACTCTTGAATTAGAAGGTGCTTATGTGTTACAGTTTCCAGGCCTTCACACAGGGTGGGGGCTTCTTCTCCTTCCTCCCTCTGAGGATAATGTAAATGATGAGGATGGGGGTACAAAGCGAGTTTGAGGCCAGCGTAGGATACCTGAGACCCTGTGGTAAAGACAATATCAAGGGCCTTCTTTGACTGTGAGGTTGTGAAGCGTCTCGTCGCTCACTGTATTTGAACACCATCTGCCTTCCCTCTTTGTGCGCTGATTTGTACATAGAACCAGCTCCCCTCCATCACCCCAGAGTCTCACCGTTGCCCAAGGGGCAGCATCTGTCCTCCACTGAATGTCCCAGCAGCCCTGCAACCTAGCAAGCGCCATCCGCGCTCGGTGCTCCCCGCCCGCTGGTTCATCACAGCCCTGGCCAGACTTTACATCTCGTAGCTCCCTGGGGACCTCGCACTATCTCACTTAGTCTGGACCTCCTTGACACAAGCCTCAGGTTTGCCTCCAGCAGCTTTGTCACCTGAACATGCTTCCCTCCTTGTCTTGTCATCACCAAGGACAGGGAAGAGTTTTTTTTTTAAAAAAAAAAAAAATTATTATGTATACAATATTCTGTCTGTGTGTATGTCTGCAGGCCAGAAGAGGGCACCAGACCTCATTACAGATGGTTGTGAGCCACCATGTGGTTGCTAGGAATTGAACTCAGAACCTTTGAAAGAGCAGGCAATGCTCTTAACCACTGAGCCATCTCTCCAGCCCCCCAGGGAAGAGTTTTCTGAGACCGGGTCTCCCTATATAGCCCTAAGTATGGTACTCACTAAGTACACCAGGCTGGCCTTGAACTCACAGAGATCCACCTGCCTCAGCCTCCAGAGTGTGAGGGTTAAAGTACATGCATCACCACACCCAGCCCAAGGGCCATTTCTTGCTACAGTATTGCCTTGGCAACTATGGCCCTCAAGCCAATAGCCTTCGTGTGTGTGTGTGTGTGTGTGTGTGTGTGTGTGTGTGTGTGTACAGCCAGCTAGCTGAGAATCATTCTCAGTCTACACATGGTTGAAAAAACTGCCATCATGAGTGTATGGCTCCCACCTTCAAGATGTCTCGAGTCGGGAGGATGTAGCCTCCTAGCTAAGCACAGCTCTGGCCTGAATTCTACCTGAATTAGATTGAATGGGCTCCAGGTGGGCCGCTCTTTGTCAGCTGGTGGGTGCTCAGACTGCACCTGGTGTGGGTGTTTAATCTCTTGAGGAGCGTGAGGTGATACAGGACTTTTCCCCATGGCCAGAGTCGTTTGTCCATCGGATCCAGTGGGCAGCTGGGGATTCCCAGTCAACATCAGCACCAATGGAGGGAGGAAGGAAGGGAGAGAGGAAGGGAGGGAAGGAGGGAGGGAGGGAGGAAGGGAGGGAAGGAGGGAGGAAGGAAGGAAGAAGAGCCTTGCACATTCCTGTTGACACCCAGTGCTACCGTGAGCCCTTAACCAAGGCCAAATAAGACACACAGAACGACCACCACCTATGGTGGGTCTCACATGCTGGGCAAATAGCTTTCGTAATACATGCTTTAAGCACAGCCACGGTTACAAAAGTCCAGGAGAGTTAGCAAAGGAAACCCTTTGGCCAATATAGGCATGAAAGCGGGGGGACTTTTACTGCACCGAGGAGGTCACTGAGGTGAGCTCTGAGGCACCGTGACCTGAAGGTGGCAGGCCACAGGAAAGGGCTTTCTAGATCCACTGCCAGGTTGTCAATATAAGAGCCTTTGCCTCAGCTGGACTGGAGTAACTAAAAGCTTTGTCTTCTCCCACCCAGGAACAGATACACATCACCCACATCTTCATCCGGGGACCCCAGGGAGTGGAGTATGGTTGGGGGGGGGGGGGGGCGGAAGCTGGTCCTTTCATGGTTTCATCATGAGGATACAGCATCCACACCGAAGGTTCCTCTTGAGGTCTGAGCACTCACTGTATATGTTCCAGAGTCTCCCCCACAGCCCCCCGCCGATGACGGATCCGAGGAACCAGGGTCCGAGACCTCTGAGGCTAAGAGCACTCCAACCGCTGAAGGTGGGGCCTCCCTACTCCCACCAGGGCCTTCAGCCTGTGCTTCCCTTGCTCTGAGCTACCCCCTCCAGGCTGCACTCGCTGCTTCCTGTGTGCTGGCTGACTGAGCTTTCTAGGCGCTTCGCAGGGCAGTGCTTTGGGAGCTGGGCCCTGCTTCTGCGCTTGGCTCAACTGTGTGCCTTGATTGTCTTCATATGTGCGTGCTCTAGATGTTCCATGCTTGGAGAAGCTGGGCTGCGCAGCACAGCGGGGGCTCACACACTGCTCGGTAGGGTTCCCATCTGCATCCACTACCCTCTATGACCCCCTCAGCAGCCCCCACTTACTTTCTTTCAGGCATCAACCAGGGTCCAGAATGCTCATTTGGCTGAGGAGGGGGACAGGTCAGACACCTCCCTGCTCATGTGTTAGGAATGCTTTCTTGGGCTCTGGACTTTGCACAAGGAGTATGTTTTATCTCTTCTGATCTGTCCACTCCAGATATTTGGTGTCTGGATTGTCATGAAGCTGCTTGTCTTTTTCCCGAAATGCTCCCTGGTGTCTCTTGCTTCCCATGTGGGTCAGTCAAGACCACCACATTTCGCTGGGCAGTGGTGGCACACGTCTTTAATCCCAGCACTCGGGAGGCAGAGGCAAGAGGATCTCTGTGAGTTCAAGGCCAGCCTGGACTACAGAGGGAGTGCCAGGACAGCCAGGGCTACACACAGAGAAACAGAGAGACCCTGTCTTGGAAAAAGGGGAAAAGAAAAGACTACTGTGTTTGGCTGCAGGAAACGGAAAGCCGTTCTAACTGAAGAGGTTTACTAGTCCTGCATCGCATCATAAGATGTCTGCACGTGAGCACAGCTCCCCAGTGTCATTTGTGTGCTTCTTACCATCTCCTGCTATCCTAGGCGGTCGACTGTTGCTTCGTAGTTGAAAGATGGCCGCTGCACTCCCAAACACTGTATCTGCCTTGGGACCAAGAACTCTGGCTGGTGAGATGGCTCAGAGGGTAAAGGTGCTCATCCTGCAAGCCTGGTGACCCGAGGTCAATCCCTGGAAACTGTAAAGGAGACAACAGCTTCTCCATGGCATCATGGCCTGTGTCCAGATGGGCACATTACCCACATGTCCCGTAATAATGAATGAGAGCTGGGTGGTGACACACGCCTTTAATCCCAGCACTCAGAGGCAGAGTCAGGTGGATCTCTGAGTTTGAGACCAGCCTGGTCTACAGAGCAAGTTCCAGGATAGCCAGAGCTTCACAGAGAAACCCTGTCTCAAAAAATCAAAATAATAATAATAATGAATGAAAATTTAAAAAAAAAAGAACAAAATAGCCTAAAGGAGAAACCCTGTCTCAAAAAAATCAAAATAATAATAAGAATGATGATGAATGGAATTTAAAAAAAAAAAAGAACAAAGTAGCCTAAAGAACCCCAAAGCCAGATGTGTGACCAGAATTAAGAAACTGAGAGTTTTATATGAGTTCAGCGTGGCAGTTTCCGCTTGCATTCATGGGCCAGAACCGGGTCTCCGGCCAGCAAGCCTGGGGGTTTTGTGCATATTGTTTTTCAACCTATTGAGTAGAAGAAATCCAAGGAAAAGGACGCTGAGGACAACTTCTAACTAACTGTCCATAATCCTGCCCTTCCGTCTCTCGAACCTTCCAAGGAGGCTGGAAAGTGCACTCAGAAACCTTCCTGCAGCCCTGCGCATTATTTGGGAGTTCTATTAGAGAAGGAGAATTTGGCCTCCGCATCTGCCTTTGGAAAAGCCCAGAACACAGTTGCCAAGCTCCTGCCAATTCCTCAGCATGCTGGCTCATCCCTGAAGGATGCAGGCAGCAAGGCCTGGTGAGAACCTCCTGTCCTGAACCAGTGATGCAAGACATTTCCTGCTCTTCCTGTTAGGACGGTTCTGCAAGCTGTCTGCCACCCTGAGAAAGCCCTGAAACTCGATGCTGAACCTGGTGTGGCTTCCCAGACACAGCCCTCAGTGCTGCTCTGTGGGCATTGTCCTGGGAGAAGCTCCCGCTCACGCAGTCTGGAGTTTTATCTGCACTGGAGAGGATCGTAGTGAAAATGGCTTTTGTGGACTAAGATGCGTGGAATTCTGGGAATCTCTCAGAGCTACCCACTCCTCAGGTGTGCGTGCCCGGCATGCCTGGTGGAGAGACAGAGGGCTCCAGAGAACTTCTGAGTCGAATTGTTTCCCTTGAAGAGATGCTGCCCCAGCTCCCAGCCTGTGATCCCTATCTCTTGCCTCCGCAAGGCGGCTGGACCTGGCCCAGTTGTTGCCACATAGGGAACTCTGTACCTTTTCACTGGAGATTGGCCCGGCAGGGAGTTAGAACTGGTGGACCAACAAGGTCACCGAGAGGTGGCACTGCAGTTCTGTAAATGCAGAAACAAAGGCTCAGAGGTGACAGAGTGCTTGCCCCAAGCCTCACAGAACAACAACAGCCTCATCTCCTCCTCGGCTTCCTCACACTGCCTGGGTGCCCACTGCAGACACCCTGCCTTGCCATAAGGACCGCACAGTTGCCCTCAGGATTTCACCAGTTCTCTTGAGAACCCCCGGGGAATCAGAATACATCCGTCCGCTGTAGTACTTACATGGCCCCCTCCGGGCTTTCTAGGCAGGTGGCTTGGTGCCTCACTTCTTCCTGGGGAAACGGGAGGAGGGCTGCGGCCCTGCTTTGAGCTGGCTTTTCTTGCATGTGGCTGGCAGGCCCTGTCCCTGCACTGTATACTAAACAGAAGGGTGACTATCCGTGGTTTCCAGACGTGACTGCACCCCTAGTGGAAGAGAGAGCTTCTGACAAGCAGGCCGCTGCCCAGCCCCACACGGAGATCCCCGAAGGAACCACAGGTGAGGGCGGCTCTTAGAGCCCCAGGGCTGCCAGGGCCCAGCTGCCCGCCTTGAGCGGGTTGTCCTCACAGGCAGATGTGTAAGTGACTCTGGCTTCTGGGGATCTTGGCTAGTTAACAACGGCTGCCTTGGAGTCTAGACAAGGGAGTCTAGACAGGGTCCCCTGTTTCCTGCTGGATCCTGCCTCAGTCAACGTGTCTATTTGAGATGTCCTCAGCAAGATTCTCTGTAGAGGATAGACCTCTGCCTTCCTCACACTTTCTCCAGTTCCGGCTGTAGCAAGGGGCGGGTCGCACTTAGGGGACAGTTTACCCCTTGGGCACCAAGCATACTGTAGTGACCACATAACCGGGTCTTTTGGAAGGTCTGATGGGCTGGTCGTAGAGTTCAGAAGTGTGACCATATGTCCATTTCCAGGACTGTGCTGCTGCCTTCCAATCCTGTCTTTGTATCCTGCCCCACCCATGTGGACGATGGGGGAATTGATCAGACAGCAAGCGCACCAACAGAAAGAGCGCTGGGCTTGGCGCTGCTCGGTCATTCATAAGGCAGCCTGTGCAGGGCCCTGGACAAGATTCCTTGCAGCCCAGAGCCCTGGGTATCCTTCCCACGTGTCATCTTCCACGGGCTCATGAAGCTCTGGCAGTTAGTATGGTGAACCCGAGGCGTCCGGTTACCTACCAAGAACTATTTAATCTATGTGCGTGGGACATGTGGCAGTGGAGATGGGAAATGTCCCTTTCTGAGGACGGCTCTCTGCAACCATGCTAGTTAGTTATTCTTTTCCTTGTGATGACCAAAGATGTCTGACAGAAGTAGCTTAAAGTCTGTCTGGGCTCATGGTTTGAGGGGATGGGGTCCACGTGACAGGGAAGGCATGGTGGCAGCGGTGGTGATGACGCTGGTCATGTTGCTTCTGCAATCAGGAAGCAGAGAGAGATGGATGCTGGTGCTCATGCTTCCTCCTTTTCCCCCAGGACATCAGCCCACGGGATGGCGCTGCCCGTATGCAGGGTAGGTCTTCCCTCTGCAGTTAATCATTCTGTGAATACCCCTCAAAGACACACCAAGGGGTGCGGCTCCTCCCAGAGGAGTTGACTTTGCAGAGTAAACACCGCCTCCCTCGCGTCCTGAGAACGCTCATAACAGAGCCAGCAGTGCCATCCCCGTCTCTCAAGATGTGTTTCCACTCTGCAAAGTGATAGACTTTGCAAAGTAAGGGCTTCCGAGGCAGGTAGACCAGATGTTCTGAAAGCCTGGCCGGGCCTCAGCTTCAAGCATGAAGGATGCTTGAAGGCTACAGGACACCTTATAGGGTGAGGTCGTGGGTGCCTTGATTTTTGTCTCTGGCTATCCCTTCAAAGTTTTGTCGTGGAAGAAGTTTGTCTTCTGTCTGGGATGAAAATTCTCCCCTTATTCATCTCTCCTGGGTAATCAGAAATGCTTTATACTCTTCACGCTCACAAAACAGCCTGCAAAAGGCTAGAATGTAGCCTGGTAGAGTGCCTGGCTTAGCATATGTGAGACCCAAGGCCTTGATCCCTACCGTGTTATAAACTGAGTATGATGGGGGGGGACGCAAAAAGAAAAAAAAACCCACAGCTTATAACTGTTCATCAGAAGGGCCAGTCTGATGTGATAGTCAGGCCCACAGCCATGTTCTAACCCAGCCCCTACTCTGGGCCAGTGGGGCAGGTGTGTAGGAGGAGGCAGTGGCTGCTCTCCACTCCCTGAGGGGCTTATAGGCTGCCATTCCTCTCGTGGAGACAGCACTAGCTTCTCAAACATATCCAGATGCCTGACAGAAACGACTCTGGGAGGAAAGCCTTATTTTAGTTCATGGGCTCAGAGGGTTCCTAGTTGTTTGAGTCTGAAAGACCCCTGGTGCGGGAAGACTCTTACTCAAGTCTCAGGATAACACCCCCGCCCCCAGTAACTCACGAGAGACCGTCCTTGCTGCAATCACACGAGGCTTTAATTGATGAGATGAGATGGGAACCAGTGCACTGGGGCCGAGACTCATAACCCACACAGGGGACGATTTCGACCCCGAGTGACCTGGAGAAGGGGTTTTTATAGGAAGAAACCACAGCCCAATAATAGGGGCAGGGAGGGTGTCACCGAAAGTCACAAGGGGACAACTCCCTGCCTCTCAAGATCACTCAAGGTCATAATCAGCTAGTTCCTAAAATCACAAGGGGGAAACTCCCTGTTTGTCAAGTTCATTCTCAAGATTACAATCTAACTTTATCTTCAGCTAGTTCCTGAATCAAAGTCACTGAACTGGCTAATCCCTAGATTTTTGATTCTTGAGTGTAGCATTAGCGTGCTTTCTCCTTCATCCGCTTTTGTCATCTGCCTCCACCCTGGTCCATGGGACGGTGCTACCCACATTCGTGATAGGTCTTCACTTCAGTGAGTCCTACTGATAAATACCTTCAGACATAGCCACCTGTGCACCTCAGCTGTCCCCGAGGTGGTTCCAAATGCAGGTCAGGTGACTGTGAAGATTGCCCACCACAGAGCCCTTTCTTGAACCCTTCCAGAATCTTCCCTCTCAACTCCCATGTCCTGCTTCTTTAAAGATCAATGCCTCTGCCTCAGGTTCTGGAGGATGCGTCATCCCTCCTCTCAGGGATCTAGCTGCACACAGTGCCACCTCTGTGCAGGATGACTCATTGCCGCTAGTGACCCATTGGGCATGATCTAAGATGCTCCAGTGCCATCTCTGATCTGTGCCCAAAATTCCACGGGAAAAAAATACAGTCATCCATCTTGGCTGCGAAACAGGCTATTGCAATGGCCTTTTGTTCAGCCACCGTAGCGGGGCCAGCCCTCCCCTGACCTGTTGTGTTCCTTGGCAGGGCCCTGACTGCAGTCCACCAGATCTCAAGCCAGAGGGAACAGATGCCAAGTATCTGTCTCTAGGTGGTGCCTTGAAGACCACGGAGATAAGCTAGGCAGGCCAGCACAGGGCTGTTTTATCCTAGCCCTTGAGAACTAAGGTGGGAGGTTCAAGAGTTCAAGGCCTGCCTGGGGCACGTAGTGAATGCAAGGCCATTATGGGCTACATGCCAAGACCTATGGAGCACTCCAGCCCCAGGCCATTCACCTCTTGGTGGGTTTAGAGTCGGGCAGGTTTGCAGCTGTTGGTGGAGCTGGTGCCTTCTCTTGTACTCACTTGAACACATGTTTGATACTTCTTAGTGCACAGTAAAGCTGCCCAACCATGCTGTGTGACTTCCACTGCAGAAGGCCTGTCTTCCTGGAGAGCAGAGAACCTGGACCTCCCTGAAAATGCTCCTCCACCCCACCCCCAGGTGTTAGTGATACACCGTTTGGGTTTCACACCTGGGGCAGGACATGGAAGATGAATAGATTCTCCTGGTGCTGGGACACTGACTGAGTCCCAAAATGCCCACTTATGTCTGCTAAGGACTCTGTGACTACCTAGCAGGATTTGCCATCATTCTGAGCCTGTCTTCCATTTCCGTAATCTTGCTCAGACCAAATCCACACTAGGACTTTGCCTTCACAGACAGTTGAAGCAATGTGACCATTGTTGTGTTATCTGACACGGAACTGTCACCAAAAGACCTTCTGGGCAGCACAAAGCCCCTAGCCGCGTCTGAGCTGATAATTGGTGGGTGGAGAACTTCCGAGTTCCCTGCCGCCTCCCTGGGGCCCCACCCTCACTCAGCCATCTGGCTAGGTGCTTCCCGGACACCATGTGACTCTGCAGTGACTCAGGCTCTTTCCTTGCTGTGCTGTCCGTGGCAAGTGAAGTAAAAACTGGCGCGCAGTTTTAGGTACAAAAACTGTGCACCTTAGTCCAGAGACAAGGCTGGCGGTCAACCTTGCATGGTATGAGCATTTCTGGAAGGCGGCAGCCTGTGGTGTGTGTGCCTCAAGACCTTGAGATCAGCGTGGGCTGGCTTGCTTTATAAACCCCACCTCTGGACTTGTGTGTGTGCCATCCCGTAGCCGTGTCCTGATTTCTCCCGTGTTCTCCAGATAAGGGCGTACTCACTTGAATACGTCTCGTGCGCTCTGGGACTTTCTCAGCCTTCTTTATTTGGGGTGCCTGTCATCTCCTTAAATGGTTAAAAAATGCAGAGACCCAGAAAAGCTGCCCACTGGCCCTGTTGGCCTTGCTCCAGCCAGGTAGTGCTGGTTTCAGGTGTGATGTGTGTGGGGTGTAGAGGGAAGAAACTAGCAGCCTGGGGTACCTCCTGTGTGTGAGACTTTGTTTTCCATACCTTCGCTATCCTCCTACAAGACAAACCCCAGTCATCTTGAGGTTCCCAATGAGGAAACAGGCTCAGAGAGGCCAGGCAAATGGCAGATCCTAGGTCCACACCACAGCTGCAAACACAATCTCCCCCTGAATCCCTATCCTCCTGAAGTGCTGACCAGGACCGGCAGTGCCACTGTGAATCCTCTCTGGTCTCCTGAGTTCTGACAGCTTTGTGGAGCCAGGCAAAACAGCAGGACCTCTGACCCCTGCGGAGAAGCTCTTTCCTCCTAGGTCGCAGTCACCTGGAAGGTGTGTGGGTGCTGTGGGTTCTGTGTGAGCACCTCTTGTCACCACTGTCCCTAGCCGTGGCCTTTGCGGAGGAGCGGAGCACAGCAGCTAGCCCTGCAGGGCACACCCCTCCTGCATGGTTCGTGCGTGAAACACGAGGCACAGAGAGCACAGGTTGAAGCAAGTAGTAACTGTCTGCTTCTGTCCTCCCTTTGCTGCCTCGGACCAGCTGAAGAAGCAGGCATTGGAGACACCCCGAACCTGGAGGACCAAGCCGCTGGGCATGTGACTCAAGGTCAGTGGTCCAAACCACCCCTAGGAGACTCGGAGCTCAGGAGGAGGGAAATGGGAGCACTCAGTGGGCTCTACCTTGAAAAGACATCTTAGCCCTGAGTCCTAATTTACAAGTCCAGGAGACCTGGGGGAGTCGTCTTTATTTATTACACACGGAGTGTTCTAATGCCATTCTGATTCATTCCCGCGGTGTGTTTCAGGCTGGGGTTGCCCTTGCCTAGACCTGAGCAAAGTGGGCGATGCTCCCACAGCGTCCTCTGACCTGTCAATCATCACCATTGACCATTTAAGCTTCCATTTTTTTTTTTCCGAGACAGGATGTCTCTGTAGCGTTGGCTGTCCTAGAACTCTCTTTGTAGCCCAGGCTGGCCTCAAACTCACAGAGATCCACCTGCCTCTGCCTCTCGAGTGCTGGGATGAAAGTAAAGGTGTGTGCCACCACCCGGCTTCTCTGTGGTCTTCATGCCTCATTATAATGTTCTTCTCAGGGATCAAAGTGCTGCTTTCAAGGCAAGTAGCTTTCTGCAGCTGTTTATCAAAAATACATTTTTTAAAAGGAATTTTTTTAAACCGTAAAGAGTCTTGATTTTAGGAAATGGAGACCTCCAATATAGATACAGCATGAGCCGGCTTGTTTCCTATCATTTTTCTAGATAAACAAACTTGAATGTCCTGTATAACAGGGGGACTTACAGACGACAGAGGACCTGGGAAGCCGTGTCCTTCGCTCTATAAAGCGATAGAGGATTTGTCTCCTGTTAGCTGCGCTGTCTGCCTGTGAAGGACTGTGCCTCACTGGCCTCTAGCCTAGTTCATCCCCCTCCTTTTGGTGACTCGGATGCTAGGCTCCTGAGGAGTTAGGGGGGGACACTTTGTCAGGATCCTGGTTCTCTTGTACCCCTCCACCACTCCCAGAGTTTAAATGGTTCAGGTTTGTTTGTTTTTATTTGTTTGTTTGAGATAAAGTCCTCTCTAGCTCCAGTTGGTCTCCGTAGCTTCCAAGGATGACCTTGAACTTTTGATCTTCCTGCTTCTACTTTACCGAGGTTGACCACCACACCCAATTTATCCTGTGCTGGGGAGCAAACCCAGGGCTTCACATGGAGAACAGAGCTGCATCCTGGCCCCTGTTTCATGTTTGCTGAGTAGTTTACAGTATCCTAGAAACGAATGGAAGACCCTCCCAGCCCAGATCCTCCCTCTAAGTGTTTTAATGGGCCCCTCATCAGCTCACACACACACACACACACTACTGTGTGCGTGTTTACTTTGCAGCCCCTCGAATGGAGTCTTTGAAGGTCTTGCAGTGTATCAGACTCCAGGACATCCCAGCCAAAAATAATTTCTAGGGAGCATTTTCTTGAAGGTAGTGGAGGCCCAAGTCTGTTGGGTGGCATCATGGCTTGGAACCGCCTTAGCCTCTGGTCCATGAGCTGGCTGGTACTGGATAGCCAGACGCCGCCAGTTTCCCACTTCTGTCTTTATTGTTGTCTCTACTTGAGACAGACCAAAGGCCTCAGTAAGGAACCTGATAAGGAGCAGAATGGGTGCTTTTTGTGACAGTAGCTGTTCTATGCAGGGTGTGTTTATTGATTAGCTGTCATATGACAGCCTTGACACTGGGACCATAAATGAATGTAACTGTGAACTCAATCTGGCGTAATAAGGAAGGAGAGGGCCAGGCCGGAGTTGGGTCCTTTGTTAGTGAGCCAACCACAACGAGTACCACTGGGTTAGAGACAGCGGTTTAGTGTACATGTTACTTGTGTGTGTCCAGAGTTACACATGCATGTGGACACACATGTTCTCTCTTCTTCTCTCCCCCAAATTTCTTTTCTATATCCCCAAAGCCTTTGAGGTTATAGGCTTTGTTGGAGGAGAATTCGGGAGTTGTTTGAGACCTTTTGTTGGGACCAGGTAGGCTGTTCAGAAAATTCGGAATTACGAAAGTATGGTGGCACATGCCTGTAATCTCAACACTTGGAAAGTGGAGATAGGAGAATCAGGGGTTCAAGGTCATCCTTGGCCACATAGTGAGTTTGACACCAGCCTCAGGTACAAAAGACCCTGTCCCAAACAAGCAATCAGCAGAAGCAGAGGGTGCTCAGAATTGCTCAGTACGACTCAAGTGGACGCCCATCCTTAATGCACAACCCGGTACTCTAAAGAGGGTTTTACATGGCTATCACGTGATCCAAGTAACAACAATGGGCTCAGGCCAGCTGAGCTGGTGGGCGGTGTGCTGGCTGAGCAGTTAGAGCAGGGGTCCCATGGCTCCTGCCTTAGCTGGGGCAGAAGGCAGGCCAAGGAGGGTGACCGCAGAGCCATCCACGTGCTGCAGTTCCACGGAGAGGAATCGTACGGCAGGTCAGTCAGCAAAGCTCCACGCCAGCAATCACGGTTTGTGAATCTTCTAAATCAGAGCAAGGCCGGAGGTCAGGTAATTTATGATGCCTGTTGGTTCCACCTGCCCAAAGAGAGGAGAGAGACACACACAGAGAGACAGAGAGAACAGGGACCACTGTCATAACCCAGCGAAGGCCACCTGGAGCCCAGCATCTCCAGGAACTTGAGTTCTGTGAATGGTAGGTAAGCATGCATCTGAGCCCATAACCACATCCTGGACAGCCACAGAGATGCCAGCAGGCTCTTGCCCAGCCAAATACCAGAGGGCCTCAGAGGTCACCAAGTCCAAGTCTCCCTTTTACAGACAAGAACACTGGTGCCCAAAGAGGGCCATGCAGCAAGCTAGTGGCAGACAGACCAAGAGAGCATTTATTCCAAGCAATGAACTAGGCCTGAGATGAGCTCTTGTCTCTGTTGGGAGAGTCCTGGTACCTTTGAGGGGACTTTCATTATGGCAAGTACTACAGTCCCCTTTAAAATGTCTGTACCCTTGATAACCATTTGCCACCATTGCCTCTTCAAGCCCGGAGGAGGTGAGAGTGTCTAGGCAGTGGAGAGAGGTGTCTGAGAGGCTCCTGAGCAGGAACCTTAGTGTTCAAGTCCGGCCTGGACTGAGCACCGAAGTTTCTGGGATCTCACTGGTACCTCTAAGTAAAAAACAGTCAGATCCTCCAGGCTTGGTGATCACTCACTGTCCCCACAGCCTGTCAAGGTGGGCCTGCCTGTTCTGAAGCCCCCCTCTGCTGGATATCTCCACACAGAGCCGGAGAAGGTCCAGAATTTCCCAGAAAGTTTGCTTGGCGAGCCAGGGCGCCCTGAAGGCCAGGCTCCAGACTCAGGGATCTCTGATTGGATCTGCCAACCGGTGCCTAGCGTGTCTGGGGCTCCCCTCCTGCCACAAGGCCTCAGAGAGGCTACGTGCCAACCTTCGGGGACAAGACCTGAGGATGTAGAGAGAAGCCACCGGCCCTCTGAGCCGCTGCAGCAAGAACCGCCTCTGAAGGAGGGATGGGGCAAAGACAGGCTGGGGAGTGAGGAGGAGGTGGATGAAGATCTTGACATGGATGAATCATCCCAGGAGTCCCCTCCCTCCCAGGCGCCCCTGGACCCAGGCAGGGCAGCCCCTCAGCCTGTCTCCAGGGAAACCACTGGCATGCCTGGTTTCCCAGGTGAGGGTGCCGTCCCACTTCCTGTTGACTTCCTCTCCAAAGTCTCCACAGAGACCCAGGCCTTGCAGCCCGAAGGGCCTGGCACAGGGCCCATGGAGGAAGGGCACGAGGCTGCCCCAGAGTTCACATTCCACGTGGAAATCAAAGCCAGCATGCCGAAGGAGCAGGATTTGGAAGGGGCGACATTGGTGGGGGCCCTTGGAGAGGAGCAACAGGCCCAGGGCCCCTCTGTGGGAAAGGACACCCAAGAGGCTAGCCTTCTGGAGCCATCCGAGAAGCAGCCCGCAGCTGGACTGCCGGGAAGGCCAGTCAGTCGGGTCCCTCAACTTAAAGGTCTGTGGTTCAAGCCCCCTCACTCCTCCCCTGGTACCCTCCAGGCTGTGGACACTGTCACTAAGCTTCTTGCCTTCCTTGACTCCCGCACCCTGATATTCCAGGATAGCCACTAAACCCACCGCCTGGGCCGCCGCCCCCTCCCCAACCCTGCCGGCAGCCTCTAGTAGCACGTGTTCCTTTCTGCCCCCTCCCCAACCCCGCCCGGCAGCCTCTGGTAGCACGTGTTCCTTTCACGCTTGCCGTCATTCTGCACGTCACGGACACCTGGCCCTGTGCTTTCTGCCCTGTTTGGTTCTCTGTCCACTTGGCGTATCCACATGGTCCACCAGCCCGCCAGAGGTTGGGAGGCACGCTACAGAGAGTGGATAGCAGTGTCCCTCATTTTGGAAGGCTTATGATGTATTGCCATATTCACGATCTAGAACCTTCCCAGAGTTGGCATAATTAGTCCCACTTTTCAGGTGAGAAAACTGAGCCTCAGAGCAGGAAATTGACCTTGTGATAAATACCCAGAGTAAATAATGGTTGAAGTCAAGTTCAGAATCCAGTTAGGTCTTCTCTGAAAGGCACCTTCTTGCCATGGTCCCCCATACTGCCTTCCAGAAGGTGCTGGAGTGTATCCTCCTGGTGCAGAGCCAGTGAGTCCACCTGCCTGTCTTCTGATGCTCTCATCAACAGACAGCATGTCACATTGCACAGGTGACATCTGTCCCTGTGGGGGTGGCTAACAACCCCCCAAACCTCTGCCCAAACCTGCTTGCCTCAGGAATGATGGATAAAGTATTATCTTCCAGGTCTAAAGTGACCCTCCTGTCAGTCAGGGACAGGCCGGGTCCCTGTGTGCAGCCCCATCTGGAGCCCTGTGGAGGCTACAGGGTGGGAGCAGCCTCCAGGCAGCGGCATTCATGGCTTTAAGACTTTAAAATATTTGTCATCTGGGCCTTCGAATGGCTCAGTGGGTAAAGATTCTTGTCACCAAACCTAATGACGGAAGTTCCAGCCCCAAGACACACATAATGCAAGGACATACTGCCTCATGAGTTCAGAGGTCAGAGGACAACTGTGGGGGTCAGATCTCTGGTTGGCCTTTGACCTCCCTTTGCCTATGGTGGCATGTATATGGTACAAACACACACACATTCATGTGCTCTTGTATAATAAATAAACAAATATGTCCGAGTAGACTACTTGACGTTTTAGAATTATTTGTGGGGCCCAGAACCTAATGCTTCTTAAACACAGAGTGAAATGCATCTGCTAACTACTGACTAAATTCCACTTATAGAGAACACTCCAACATCATAAATAGAAGAGCCTGTCAGGACGGTGGCACAAGCCTGCCATTCCAGTCCATTCCAGCTAAGACAAAAGGATCACTGCAAGTTTGAGGTCAACCTGGACTACATAATGAGTTCAAAGCTAGCCTGGGCTAACTAGCAAGATGTGTTTTTGAAAAGACCTGGGCATGATGCTACACATGCCTTTACCACTGTACTCAGGATGGAGAGAAAGGGGGATCAGGAGTTCAAGACCAGACCCTTCTACATAAGACCCTGTCTTAAGGGGCTGGAGAGATGGCTCAGTGGTTAAGAGCATTGCCTGCTCTTCCAAAGGTCCTGAGTTCAATTCCCAGCAACCACATGGTGGCTCACAACCATCTGTAATGAGGTCTGGTGCCCTCTTCTGGCCTGCAGACATACACACAGAGAGAATATTGTATACATAATAAATAAATAAATAAATATTTAAAAAAAAAAAAAAAAGACCCTGTCTTAAAACAAAAGTTAAGGCAGAGTAGGGGAAACCTATGTCCTGTTTTAAACTCCAAGGCAAAGAAAGACAAATGACTGCCTTGGATTTTTTTTCCAAATTAATGTTCTATCAAATTCTGGTCCTCCAGGTGTTGACAGGTGTGTGAGGTAGGGGTAAGGATAAGACACAGAGAATTTAGAAGAGGAAAAAAACAGGCTAAACAAAGCTCAACAACTTCCACGGTTGTGGGAGTCATCGGAGCCTGTGCACAGGGACCCTCTAAGGAGTATGGGTCGTCTGGATTTCCCAGAGATATTTGATACCCTGCTAACATCTCCCAGAACAGGGCTTGTTCCTCCCTGGATTCAGGAAGTGCTGATCTAGCAGGCGGATTCCCAATAAGGGCAGTGATAAGTGGGTTGCTCCAGGGAAAGAATTCACCAGAACAGAAAGTGGGAGAGGGTGTTAGCCACACTCCAACACAGTCACAAAGGGCAGCTCAGCAGAAACTGCACAGAAGCATTCTAAAGAACTGCTTTCGCAGGTAGGGTCGGGATTACTCCATCAGGCTGTGTCCCAGGATCAATCACAACAGTTGGCGCTCTTGTGGTTATTAGCCTTGCGGAAATGGTGCGGTTTATCCCCCCTGAGTCAGAACTGAATTGGCACAGCCGTTTGTCCTAAACAGACACAACATGGTTGACAGAGAAATGAATGGATAAGATCCATGGATCTCCTATTGCCAGGCAGATTCCTGGGTACCTGTTGGTTGCATACCCAGCCTCGGTACACCCAGAGTCTGTATGCTACCTCCCAGATGACTCCTCCACAGTAAAATGGGGAGAACCCTGGGCTGGAGAGTCAGCGCTGGTCACTCTGTGAGTTCAGTCTTCATCTACTTGCAGGTTAACAGTGATGCTGGGTTCCCTGAGCAGGATGTGGCTTATCTGAAGGGCCCTGGGGAGTGACAAGGTGCCCTCATGGATGGGCTGTGTCAGCGTAGGAAGGACTCCTTCAAAAGCAGCTGGGGCTGATGTGGAAGGTTCCTGTTAGTGAGCTGCTTCGGGTTAAGGGCTACACTCTGCAGCAAAGGGGAGAATCTCCTCACTGGGCTCATCTATTCTGGTAGCAAGTGGCCTGGAGTGGGGGTTGGGATGGTCAGCATAAGATGGCCAAGAAGGTGGGGTAGGGAAATGGAGGTGGTTTCACTTCAGCCTTGAGGCCCTAGAGGGTAAGCAGAGATCTCACAGGAAAGCCAGAGAGAGAGAGAGAGAGAGAGAGAGAGAGAGAGAGAGAGAGAGAGAGAGAGAGCGCCCACTCAGATACAACCCACTCTGATACAAAGATCCTTAGCCTGGAGTCAGGACAGGCTGGGCTATCCTGTTCATGGCCTTGGGGAGTTTAACTGGCCTTGCATTCAGTGTGGTTGGCCAGGCTAGAGAGTGAGCTTGCCACAGCCACAGGTCATCGGGCACCTCTAACAGCACCTGCTGCCTTCCCTCTGCATGTCCCCACCCTCAGCCAGGCTGCCGCCCCCTCTTGCCAGGTTGCTCTGAACAATGGCCCTGTGTGCTGTGTGGTACTAACAATGCAAGATTCAGTAGGTCTGAGGACTAAGAAAATCAGCCTTGTGTCAACCAAAGGGAATTCACACCACCACCCCTCAACTCTGGTGTGTCTACAAACCTTAAGCGCAGGGAGTCACGTGCTTTCTCGTTTTGTATTTTCTCAGCTCGAGTGGCTGGTGTCAGCAAAGACAGGACTGGAAGCGACGAGAAGAAAGCGAAGGTGAGCTCCTGACCAGCCAGGAGGCTCTGCCCCGCGCTGTGTCTGCTGTGGAAGCGGTTGTCTCTAGAGTGCAGCTGTCATTTAAAGGCCGCTGCTATTTACAAAGGCAGAGTTTCTCTCTTGATACTTAGTAACTCAGTTCTTCCTCTTGTCATCTCCTCATAGTTTAAATAGAGGCGCGTGTGAGTTTTCTGTGATGAATGTTGGGACGTGCATTTCCCACCCTTACTAGCACCGATCTGGGCTCAGTAAACACAAGGTATTTAATATCTGCAGAGTACACTGGGCGATCAGAGAGGCGTGAGCTAGAAACAATCTCCAGACAAAAGCAGGGAGGGTTCTGGGTGAGCCCTCGAAGAGGAGAGCTGGGAGGCAAATGGGAGGAGCCCTGCTGTCTCCCATCCGCCCCACCCCAGAGCAGGAAATAGCAGACCTGGGAAGAAGGGACAGACAAGCTGAGGCTAGGGAGAATGGGCAGGTGGCCTTTGTTGCTGAGTTGTTTGTAGAATTGCTTAGGCTCTGAATTAGCAGCACCTCCTTGAAATGGAGTGTCGAAAAGTGTGGGATGGAAGACACAGATTTGTCAGTCTTCTGCACTCTAGCCCAGTAGATAAAGCATCCCGAGCCCCGCTCATCCTTTGTTTTTTAATCTGTAGTCCACTCCCTCCATGATTTTTTATCTTAGAAACCCCTAAAGCTGTGCAGTGGTGTCTTCCTGAAAAAATCCCACCACGGCCCAGATTGGATCCGCTGGGCAGCCAGCGTGAATGCGGCCTGGAACTACCTGGCCTGTAGTGGGCGCCAGAGCCTCAGTGAGTCTCCAGAGGTGGATGCTAGTGCTAGGATCAGCGGAGGTTGAGGACCACTCCCAGAAGACCCTGTTCTCCACTCTTTAGGACTCCTTGTCATGGGTGCTCAGAGAGAGGCAACTGAGCCCCGTGCAGAGACTTAGCCCTGCCCCACTTCTTGAACCGGGAGCGACAGCTGCTGCGTCAGTCAGTCGTGATGCTCATTTTGCTCTCGGGGAAGGGGCAGGGAGTCCTGGCCTCACCTTTCACAAGTGTGCATGTACTCTTCATGTATGTGTTCATTCAGTACACAGTCCCTGCCCTGGATTGGCTCACAGGATAGCAGGGGCAAGGCTGGGCCGAGAATGGTGCCCGTGGAAGGGGTCTTGTCCAGCTAGGGAAGAAGGGGCTCCGGTACCCGCTCTAGCTTTTCCCCCTTGCCCTTCCCTCCTGACACTGGTGTCACAGACTGGGCCCCAGCCCCTTCAGCGAAGGGATGAGGAAACACACAGGAACAGCACAGCAGTCTGGTCAGGACTCCACGGAGCACCCCCACTTGCGGTTCTTTATTCAAGGGTCTGGTCTCACCCTGATCATATCAGGGCCACCCTTGCTGGTCAGAGTCCCCAGAGCAACCATGAGTGTCAGCCCTCAGCCTTTAGGTACCCCTGGTTCAGGGAGCCGGGCCCTGCTTGTAGAACATCCAGCCTCGCAGACACTCATTTCCTCGGGTGGAATATGTTCTGGTGTTAACTTTGGCCAGATCAAGACTCTCTAGATAGCATTAAGATTAGTTTTGCCTTCGTTTAATCAGAAAGTATCTATGTATGTGCGTGTGTGCGTGTGCATATGCACGTTGTATGTGTGTGAATGCCTGTATGTGCGTGTATGTGTGTGCTCCTGTGGCATGTGTGTGTCCCCAGAAGCCTCTGCTTAACTCCAGCACAGTCCTCCTTAAAGGATTAGGATTCTGTTGGCATGGCGGAAAGAGAAGGTGGGTGTCAGTGAGCCCCAGTGGGTGCTTCTCCTGAGGCTGAGCGACCCATGACACATTGGTGTTCTTTCGGGGAACATCTTGCTGCCTTCTCTCCGACGGTCTCCCGGTTCTTACCAAGCACCCTTAAGCCAGTGTTCTGCAAGTAGAAGGCACAACAAGGCCCAGTTGCTAGAGAAAAAAAAATGTACCAGAACGTCTATCCGTCTTCAGCATCTCTTTCAGAAGTTCTGTGCTGTGTGATTTTAATCATGTCCATCCCACGGCAGCTGTGCAGCTTGTGTGTAACTGATAGAGGACAAGGTTGCCGTCCTTTCTTACTGACAGTGCTGCTTTGCCCTGTGGCCCGCCTTCTTTATGTTTAGTTTTTTTGTCCTTTGTTTCAGTTTGTTTCCCTCCCCCATTGCTGACTTTTATTTTGATTTTATTTATCTTTATGTTTAAGACATCCACACCCTCCTGTGCTAGAACCCTGAGCAATAGGCCCTGCCTTAGCCCCACACGCCCCAGTCCTGGTAGCTCAGACCCTTTGATCAAACCCTCCAGCCCTGCCGTGTGCCCTGAGCCAGCCACCTCTCCTAAACACGTCTCTTCTGTCACACCCCGAAATGGCAGTCCTGGAACAAAGCAGATGAAACTCAAGGTAAGGAAATAACCGTTGGTGAGGCGCAGGCTGCTGTACCATGGTGTTCAAACGCTCTCGTCCCCTAAACTCACAGGCAGCACTAGATGGTTGAAGAAGGGACAGGGAGGGGACCAGGGACTAGGGCCTGTGCTTCCTGCCCCCTCTCTCCTGAAAAAGCAGTCCCCAAGATAACCAGAGGACCCCGGCCTAAAAACCGAGGCTCTGAGCTGAGCACGGTATCTGATGCTTGTCACCAACTCCAACACTGAGGAAGATGGAGCTACAGAGTTACAGGCTAGCCTGGGCTACAGAGTGAGTCTCTGTTTAAACATAAAAACAGAAAAAGAAGCCAGGTGTGGTGATGCTTTTAATTTCAGCCCCTGAGGACTAAGATGTGGGGGCCAGCCAAGAATACAGAGAAACTTTTTTTCTTAAAAAAATAAATAAAAAGCCGGGCGGTGGTGGCGCACGCCTTTAATCCCAGCACTTGGGAGGCAGAGGCAGGCGGATCTCTGTGAGTTCGAGACCAGCCTGGTCTACAAGAGCTAGTTCCAGGACAGGCTCCAAAACCACAGAGAAACCCTGTCTCGAAAAACAAAATAAATAAATAAATAAATAAATAAATATAGCCACGCGGTGGCAGCGCACACCTTTAATCCCAGCAAAGGCAGTAGGATCTCTGTGAGTTCGAGGCCAGCCTGGTCTACAGAGCAAGTTCCAGGACAGCTAAGACTGTTACATAGTAAAACCCTGTCTCAAAAGCCAAAGTTAAACCGTGCAGTGGTGGCTTGCATATGCTTTTAATCCAAGCACTTCGGAGGCAGAGGCAGGCAGAACTCTGAGTTTGAGACCAGCCTGGTCTACAGAACAAGTTTGAGGACAGGCCCCAAAGCTACAGAGAAACCCTGTCTCAACGCCCCCCCCCCAAAAAAAACAATTAATTAATTAAAAAATAAAAATAAATGACGAAGAAAACCTCAGGTCCTTCTAGAGTTCCTATGGTAGCTGGCCACACCTCCAGGTGGGTGCATCCATCCCAACAGCTCCTTCTCTCTCTGCTTCCTCTGGAGTTTGTGGTTCATGTGGTTTCTTTGTGAAGTTCATACCCCGTCTAACGGGCATCTAACTGACCACCGGATCTGTAGCCACCCACAATCCGCTGATTGTGTCTGCCCCACCTGTGGCTCCCAGCTTTCCGCCAGTGTTCACAGACAAAGGTTCTTAGCACACCTAAGGAGTCACAGAGACCCCAGGGCCATGGAGAGAGAGAAGAAAAAGACGTGGCTTGGCTGTTGCGTGCTCTGCTGAAGGCCGAAGCACAAGTGTCTTCGGGAGGCCTCTGGTGAACCCAGCCTCCGTCAGCTACGTCTGTAGTGAGGAATCTGGAAAGGGGTGTCCCCACGGCCTGGTCTTCCTGGGTCAGCCTACTGGTCTACCCTGACCCTGGTCTGGCTCCCAGCACTGCTATCATTTTATAACACAGGCGAACTCACAGTTCATCTAAGAGGAGACAGGAACCTGATACTTGATGTGCCGGTGAACTGGGGGTGCTGTGTGCCCCACAAACCCTCGAGACTGTGCAAGACCCTTCCAGCATCCACCTCCACCTTCACCTTCTTCCAGTCGAGGTGGGAGGGTAGGGTTGACCTTTCCTTGGTGATAGTCAGTCACCTTTCCCAGTGGTGAAACCTTTTACCCTAATTCGGTTTACAGGGGGCCGATGGTAAAACTGGAACCAAGATCGCTACACCTCGGGGAGCAGCCCCTCCAGGCCAGAAGGGCACATCCAACGCCACTAGGATCCCGGCCAAGACCACGCCCAGCCCAAAGACCCCTCCAGGCTCAGGTGAGAAGGCTCTCTGGAGTCTTAATCCAGAAGCTTCCAGAAGGTGTAACGCTCGCCTCAGGAGGCCACTGACAATTAGAAACCCCTGGCACCGACTAACAGTTTGCTGCAGTTTGCTGAGTGCTGGAGCATCTGTCTGAGGTGGACAATGAACTCTTGCCTTTCAGCCAATGAAGAGATCTTGCTCATTTTGAAAGCATGAGGAAAACACAATCATGTGGCTAATGAGTGGCAGGGAAGGAGCATGCCCCCTAATCCTTGGCTCTGGGGAGGTAGCCCCAGCATGAGGTGCAGTAGCCGCTTTGGAGGAGCAGTAGCCAGGGCAAGACATCGTGCGGATCTCCCACAAATCCACCTCATGCAGCCGGGATGTTAGGAATCTTCTAGCAAAATTCAAGGGTTTTAGCTGAGCACTGACATGCCATGGTCATTACTCCGGCCTCCTGTAAATAAAATCCAGTTGGCATTGAGAACCTGACCAGGCTACAGTTGGCTGTTTCATGTCCAGTAGAGATACCAGGAACAGAAAGAACCCCTGGGGAGCTGCTCCCAGAAGGCACTTGATGCTATGTGACTGATTCTGTGCTGTCCGGCCTGCATTCCTGGCTCTTGGTGCCACTGCCCTCCTGGCCAGAGGCAGCCCCTATTGCCCGCTGCATGCTTCTGCCTGGCATTGTAAAGGGTACGGCCTGCCAGTTGGGCTGTGTTTACACTAAGTAACTGCATCTGCTATGTCCCTTGTGTGCTGATGATCTACTAGCATTAACGGCGCGTCAAGTGGATTTTCATCCCGGTGCTTTCCCTCAGCGCTGTGCTGGCCCCAGTCACACAGTAGCCTGGAGCAAGTGCTCGCCTTGCTCCTCCAATCTCACCTGCCCTTAGGTGGCTCCACACTGACGGCTGCATCTTCCTCACTGGTCCCGCACCTGTTCCTGCTTCTGTCTCTTATACTAGGTGGACCAGCCAGATGCTGCCACCTGAAGAACTCACAGAGACCCCTGTGAGCCTGATTATAATGAGGCTGTCTGTGGATTTTTCTTTTTAAGCTTCCAAGCAAGAGCAGAGAAAACTACCCCCTGCAGGGGCAAAATCTGAGAGAGGTAATTCCGGGTCCACTGCTCTGGGTGGGCCGACCCTCTTGGTGTGTGTTCTGCCCCTATGCTTGTCTGCAAGGCTGGGAGGGCCTCCTGCTTCCAGCCCAGGCTACCCCAGAGGCCCAGGTTTGAAACATCATGTTTACTTTTCTCCTCAAGTGTGGTTTGTACTGGGGGCATCTGTGAATACCATCCTGGGTGTCTGCATTTCCTTCAGGGACTAGGGCTATTTGTGGGGTGGGGAGCATATGCCTGTGGGGGTGCTGGAGGTTTGGACTGTCTCGAACCTAAGTTCTTTTTTTTTTAAATATTTATTTATTATGTATACAATATTCTGTCTATGTGTATGCCTGCAGGCCAGAAGAGGGCACCAGACCTAATTACAGATGGTTGTGAGCCACCATGTGGTTGCTGGGAATTGAACTCAGGACCTTTGGAAGAGCAGGCAATGCTCTTACCCTCTGAGCCATCTCTCCAGCCCTCGAACCTAAGTTCTAGTGGCAAAGTGTCACTGGTAGGCAGAGGGTTTTGTTGGGCTGAGTTTTTTTTTTTTTCCTCTTTGTTTCTTTTTCTTTTGTTTTGTTTTATTCTGGTCTTTTTGATGACATAAAACAAAGTAGAACTTGAGGGCTAACACCCAAGGTGTCCTTTAACCTACATGTACACATCATGGCCTGCATGCTCCTGCACTCATGTGACACACACATCATAGGCCATATACACTGCACACATCATAGGCCATATACACTGCACACATCAAACACACACAGAAAGTTTTGACACTACTGAGCATGTGGTATCTTCAGCATTTTTCAGACTTGATCAATATTTTGATCTTAGAATCTTAAGAATACACTACTTCACGTAAATATGTAGTAAAGAAAATGGCCGAAGTAAGTTTAGAGCAACTTCAGAAATCGTTAGAAGTTCTTGGGCTGAGTTTTTTTGTTTTGTTTGTTAAGAAATGTCATTTCTGGGTTGGGAGATGGCTCAATGATTAAGAGCACTGGCTGCCCTTCCAGAGGATCTGGGTTCAATTCCCAGCACCCATATAGCAGCTCACAACTGTCTGTAGCTCCAGCAACCTCATACAGCCTAACCAATGTACATAAAATAAAAAAAAATCATTTTGAAAAAAAGAAGAGGAATTATATTTCACTCTTGAGATGTTACAGACAGATGTGAGCCGCCATGTGGATGCGGGGAATAGAATCTGAGTCCTCTGAAAGAATAGCCAGTGCTCTTAACTACTGAGCCACCTCTCTGTCGGGGGTCTAAACCCCTACACCTCTCCACACACCCCCAATACCCTTCTCAAAATAAGGTCATGAGGGCTCCAATCCCCCACATCTTTCAGATGAGGACGTGGGCATAGTGAGGGTCATTGGCTCACTCAAGGTACTTCGCTAGTGTGAAGAAAAGAACATAAGTCACCACCGTCCTGTGTCCCAGGGGGCATGTAGGCAGAGCTAATCCCAGAATAGCGGTGGCTCCACATATCCCAGAACTTTGATGCTTTAGGGGTTACTAAGACCTGGAAGTGGAGACTGAACATTGGTGTATGGGCAGAGATTGGCTGCAGTAAGCGTGTTTGCTGCGATGTTTCTCCTGCGGGTTGGAAAGCCTAAGAAAGGCCAGTTTTGCAGGCCTCTATCAGATCTGGATGGGGGCCCAAAAATTTGCATATCACAGGTCCCATCTCCTGCCGAGAACAGCAGAGGTTTTCAAACACAAAACAAAAAACTTATGGGTGTGGGGGCTCAGTGAACTCTAGGTGTGTCTGCGGCTTACTTAGTACTAGCACAGAAGGGTGTGGGGGTGAAGGACGAAGGGAGAAGGATGGACAGAGCCTGCCCAGAAGTCCAGGCAGCCTTCCTGGAACTGATGGTGTTGGGAAAGGTGTGTGGGGAAGGGCATTCGCGGACTGGAAGGGCAAGGCAGGGTTCAGCAGTGGGGGGTGTGTGGCTTGTATGGAAAGCTCTGTGGTTCCTGCTTCGGCAGCCCTACAGTTAGAAGAGCCTGGATGTGCCCCTGGCAGCCTCAGATCTGCCCTGTGAGGGAAGGGTCTGGAGGATCCCAGCTTGAAGACTGCCCTGGGGCCCTGTCATTGCATCACCTCAGTTAAGGAAGGACAGGTAGAAGGGGGTTTGTGGAGCCACACCCCATCACTTCCTTCTTCAAGGCGAGACCTCAGCTCAGTGAAAGGGGGTGACACACAGCTCGCTAGAACCCATCTCCTGACTTCAGGACACGTCAGGGCTTGGGGAGAGTCGGGCCATCCCCGGAGGAGGTACCATGTGCTGGAGCACTGATGAGTTGAGAAATAGTTGTCACTGTGTCTAAGTGGCAGGGCAGGAGCAGACACTTCTTCACAAATGGGCCTCTCCCAGATTCCCCTCTGGAGCCTAGCAGTGGGTCACACACACACCCCACCCCCACCCCCGTCCAGTGGCCTCAGGGACTTCACAGATCCCCATCCACCTGGCCTCAGTTCCTTCCTCTCTCCCCACCCTCCAGGTGAACAACCAAAATCCGGAGAACGCAGCGGCTACAGCAGCCCTGGCTCCCCTGGGACCCCTGGCAGTCGCTCCCGCACCCCATCCCTACCAACGCCGCCCACCCGGGAGCCCAAGAAGGTGGCAGTGGTCCGCACTCCCCCCAAGTCGCCCTCTGCCAGTAAGAGCCGCCTACAGACCGCCCCTGTGCCCATGCCGGACCTGAAGAATGTCAAGTCCAAGATTGGCTCCACTGAGAACCTGAAGCACCAACCAGGAGGTGGCAAGGTAAGGGCTTGACCAGCTGCGCGAGTCAGGTCAGGGTGCAGCCTCCGAAAGGGCCCAGCACACAGGCCACCAAAGCACCAGCTCCTCCCTCCCTCTCTTTAGCCTTGCTAATTGGACAGTGGATTTCCCTGGGGACTGCCCAGGTTGGGCTTGGTCTTCCCACTTGGTTCTGGGGAAATTCGAGGTTTTACTATATGACTGTCATGAAATTTCGAGGCCCTGAGGCACCCCCTTCCTTGCTTTTCATCCGAGCATTGCTCAGGCTGACTGACATGTCCTCAGGGTTCTAGAATCTGTGACTGAGAGATTATGTGGGTGTCAGCAGGCCTGACTCCCCGCTGAGTTTCTCCCGAGTCGTCCTCTGTGCACCAGGGATGTCTTACCTTGAGTCCTAGGCTCATTTTATGAAGACATTAGCCCTGTGGGATTGGGTTCACTCTCCTGACCTCATTTCAACACAGTCCTTGATCTAAAGGTCTTATCTCCAAACATACTTCCATTGTGATGTTAGGGTGTCAACATGTAAATGAGGGAACACACAGTCTGTCCCCTCCCACCCAGCACCGGAGTAAGGGAAAGCCAATGAGGGACTTGACGCTGTGATCCATTGCTGAGTCTGCTGTCCTTGTCTTCTGGACAGCGTACTCCTGGGGCAGCACACCTCTGGGGTGCTAAGGCAGCTCCGCAGACTTTAGGGACAATGCTTAGTTGCTGGGGGGAAGTTGGCTATAGCCCCCATGGGTACCTTGCCTGAAGTCCTGTGTTTTGTTGTGGGAAAGCCTTAGGCCCTCCCATTCGCTCTGCACAGTGGGCTTTGCACAGCATCTGGGTCAAAGGACATAACTCGTGTCTTCTTTTCTCCAGGCCGGAGGCTGGCTTTAGGTTAATGTCACTGGGTATCAACTTGGACCATTGACTTGGTCCTAGCTTGTGAACCCTGAGAGTCACCTGTGCTCTCTGACCCCCGCAGATATCTACCAGCCTATTTCAGAAGGGGCCCTGGAGCCAGCTGTGACATTTGAGAGGACCACAAGCTTGAGGCCAAGCCTCAAAAAAATAGGCAAGCACATGGTGGTACAAATCCTTAATCCCAGCACTCAGGAGACAGTCAGGTAGATCTGTGGTATGTGAGTTCCAGGCCAGCCTGGTCTATGCAAATGATCTGCAGGCTAGCCTGCTTCAGAGAAAAGGAGGAAGAGGAGGAAAAACCCCACAAAGCCACATGCTTGCCTCTGAGGAAAATGAACAATGCGATTGCAGTGACTTGCTTTAGCAAACAGGCACACGGTGGCCATCAGCACCTTCCTGGTCCCAGTCCCAGGCCCTGGAGCTCCTCTGGTAGCCACCAGCTGCCCATACCCCCAGTGACAGGACGAAGCTGTGGGTGTGGAGCTGGACCCTCCCCGGGGAAGAGGACCAACGGGCAGAAGAGGATGTGCGTTCTGAACACCACGGCCAGCAGCTCCGTGTGCCGCTCCCACCTCTGAGCCAGGCCTACGCAAAGGCCCCTCTTGCAGAGGAAGAGATGATGACGGTTTATTTGTTGCTCACTTGTTGCATTGCAGGGGATGCTGGAGGGAGGGGGAAAAGTGTCTCTCGGCAGCAGCGGCTCTGGTTCCATAAAGATCCCATTGTGGCTTCCCATGTGGTTTATAGAAGGAAAGGTTCATGGGACCCGCATGGCTTGATCAGGACTTGAGCAGAGCTAACTCCGAAGCTACTCGGAGTCTCTGTCGGCACCACAGCTGCCATCTGCCATTTGACTTCATTGTCTCCAGACTCCTAGTCCTCATCCACTTCTCAAAAATGACTGTTAGGGCCGGCAAGATGGCTCCAGAACCCCCGTGGGTGGAGAGAACTGACTCCTGCAGGCTGTCCTCTGAAGTGCGCACCCAACAGATTAAAAATGTCAAAACAAGAACAAATGGCCTTGGGCAGTAGTGGCGCACACTTTTTATCCCAGCACTGCCTCCGGCAGAGGCAGGCAGATCTCTGTGAGTTCAAGACCAGCCTGGTCTACGAGAGCTAGTTCCAGGACAGGCTCCAAAGCTATAGAGAAACCTTGTCTCGAAAAAATCAAAAACAAGTGACCTCTTAGAAGCTGCATCTCGGGACACCTGTGACTGTCACTATCCCGGGTGTCAGGAGTTAGGACTTCCCAGACTCTATGAAGCACCTAACTGGTTCTCCCATCTTCTTTCCCAGCCTCAGCACCAAGACTAGGAGGCAGACCCATCAGGGCTTTTGTGGGACGCATAGTGCGCAGTACCTGCAACTCAGAGACCTTGAGGCTGACAGCCTGTCTCCTCACCACCCCTCATGCCAGTCTCGACTGCTGCCAGGCCCCTGTCCCTTCTGCCCCTTTCCTGTTCATGCCCCTTCCTTGCTGGCTCTTCCTGTTCCCATTTCAGGTCCTGGACAGCACTGTGTCCAGTGATCTCTGTCACTCTGGTGACCCCAAACTGGGCTCTTCAGTCTCACCCCTGCTGCCTACCCCTTGGGAACGTCAGGTTCTTGCTTTATCCTGAACTGCAAGGCCACCACCAGCTTAGAACGCCCTTCCCTCTTCTCTCTTCCCCCTGAACTCCCCTGTCTAGTTAGCCTTGAGCATCCTGATAACTGAGGGGAACTCAGCTCCCCGAGGCCTTGAGGGCAGTGAGCCCTCACGAAACAGGGCTGCTGGGTGTCATCAAGGACTCAGCAGAGCCTGCAGTGTAGGCAGAGGATGGTTGCCCTGTCAGGCCCTGCCCAGTGTGAGGTGGCTTGCCAGGTTGGACAGCTCTTTCAAATGAATACCAGGAACTGGCCTGAACAGGGAGTACAGCATTCTGCAACGTTCCGCAGAAGGAAGGGCTCGGCCGGCCCCATCTGAGGAACTGTGCTGGGTAGTAATGATGTTTTGCCCATATCCTCACAGGGCTAGAAGGAACAGCGTGACTTGTCCTGGGAGCGGTGACAGCATGGGAAGTGACAGACAGAGCCAAGAATAGCCTCCCTCACATTCTTTGAGGGCAGGAGGGTTGTCCTAACAAGCCTCAGCCCTTCAAGCAAAGAGCTACGCAATGACAAGCCATTTATTTTGGGTTGATGGACAGGGCCGGTAACGCCCCCTGATGAAAGATTCGCAGAGCTGAGTTGACATCTTGGGTCCCTGGAATGTTTGCTTAATGAGACCCTATCTCAGAATCATTAACCGCCGGCCATGAAAGGGCAAAATTCTAAGAGTCCTGAAGAGTAGGGCCAGGGATGTAACTCCATTGGCAGAGCGTTTGCCTCGCATGCATGAGGCCCTGGGTTCAGTCCACAGCACCAGATAGACACTTTGTGGTATGGTGCAGACAGGAACTCCCAAAACTCCAGAGAAGCAGGAGGATGAGAAGTTCAAGGTGGAGCTCCGTTGCTTGGATTATTATTATTATTATGTGTAATGATAATATAATATAATAATGTGATTTTAAAAAGAGCCTGGTGAGATGGCTCAGTGGGTTAAAGGTGTTTGTTGTTAAGTCTGACGACCTGAGTCCGATTCCCAGGGCCCATGATGCTGCAAGGTGTCTCCCGCTTGCAGGTTGTCCTCCAGGCTTCAGGTCCCCACTTCCCCCACAGAAAATGAATGACATGGCCGGGCAGTTAAGAGCGCTTGCTCTCGCAAAGAACCAGAGTTCCAGTCTCAGCACCCACCGTGGACAGCTCACAAACTGCTTGTGACTCTGGCCCAGGACATCTGCCACTTTCCTCTGACTTCCTTGGGTATCACACAGACAGCCAGCCAGCCAGACAGACAGACAGACACACACACACAATAAAAAGTACACTGGGGTCGGCGAGATGGCTCAAGTGAAGGGTGCTTGCCACAAAACCTGACCACTTACCTGAGTTTGACCCCCAGGACCTGGTGGAAGGAGAGAACCGACTCCAACAGGTTTTCCTCCGATGACCACAAGCACACTGTATCATGTTCACATCTCTACAGCCGCACAAATAAATACATGTAATTTACATTTTTGGGGGGGGACGGTTCGAGACAGGGTTTCTCTGTAGCTTTGGTGCCTGTCCTGGAACTAGCTCTGTTGCCCAGGCTGACCTTGAACTCCCAGAGATTCGCCTGCCTCTGCCTCCAGAGTGCTGGGATAGCTGAAATTAAAGGCGTGCGCCACCACCGCCCATGATTTTCATTGCTACTTTGTAACTGTAGTTTTGCTACTGTTATGAATCATAATTAAATATCTGTCTTCCAGTGGTCTTAGGTGACCCATAAAAGGGTCGCTCTTACCCCCAAGGAGTTCTCCACTCAGGTTGAGAACCACTGCTCTAGAGAATGGAGCCCTGGGAAGCCCACCTTAGATCGTTCTGTCCAGTGGCTTCTCACGGGGCATGAAATGCAGTGAGTGCTGTATTCTTGGGATGGAGGAGACCACGCGTTGTAAGTATTCATCCGTGACCGGTGAATCTGTGAAGGTGGAGGCAGGGAAACTGTAGTTCAAGGCCAGCCTCAGTTACGTAGTGAGTTCAAGGCCAGCCTGGGCTACCTTCAAAAAAATTTAATTATAGAAATTCACACACATTAAGTAACAGGAGGTGACAGTGAAGTAAGAGATGAAAGGACGTGCTAGGGGTGTGGCTCAGGGACCCAGGTCCCCTCCTGACACTAACACCTAACCTGTAGCCTGGGATCCTTGAGAGTTTGTCTTGTTCTTTTGTTTTGGTTTGGTTTTTTTGGGTTTTGTTGTTGTTATTTCGAGACAGGGTTTCTCTGTAGCTTTGGGGCCTGTCCTGGAACTAGCTCTTGAAATCAGGCTGGCCTCGAACTCACAGAGATCCGCCTGCTGAGCCTTTACCTGCTGAGCCATCTTGCTGGTCCATTAGTATTAGTATTAGTGGTATTTAGTTTTTTGAGACTTGCTATGTAGAAGAAGCTACATAGGTTTGCCCTACGATTCTCCTGGTTCAGCCTCCCAAGGGCTGGGGTTACAGGCATAAGCCACCACAATTGGTGCATAAGTATTCTTCTTTAAGACCTAAGAAGATCATAGGGAAAATGTGAAAACCTTTATCTGTTAATTAATTAATTCTGGGACAGGGTCTCCTGTAGCTCAGGCTAACCTTGAACTCACTCTGAAGCCAAGAATGACCTTGAATTCACTCACCTCTACTTCCTGGGTGCTGGGATTACAAGTGGGAGCCACTTAAAACAACAACAACAGGCTGGGCGGTGGTGGCACACACCTTTAATCCCAGCACTCAAGAGGCAGAGGCAGTTGAATCTCCGTGAGTTCCAAGATAGCCAGCGCTGTATAGTGAGACCCTGTCTTAAAACGAAAAGAAAGAAAGAAAGAAATTGCACTTCTTTCTAAACTAGTTTTTGGCTAGTGTTCAAGCATGGAAGCAGCCTGGTTGGCTGAGCAGTTGGAGCGCTCCTCTGAAGATTTCCAAGTCCCACAAGTCAAAAGTTTGCAGAGCCTGGGAACACCAAGGGCAAAGGGTTGCTATATTACAGGTGACCACCAGGTGGCGATGGAGCGCTGTAGACATCCGCCTCCACTCCTGGACCACCCATAGTTGTTGCTTCTCTGCAATGGTTATCTTTCCTGCTCCCTTGGTCTTTTTCTATCTCTCATCTCGGCTCGGCTCATTTCTCTGTTTCTGTCCATCCCATTCTCCTTCTCTTTCACCAATGGTCATATGGAAATATGAGTTTTTAAAAATTTTTAACATTCATTTAAGTGTGTGTGTGTGTGTGTGTATTTAGGGGTAGGAGTTGGAAGTGGAAGTGTTTTCAATGTATTTTATTTTTTGGACAGGGGCTCATTTATTCCAAGCTGCCCTCCTGTGGCTGAGAATGGCCTTGAACTTCTGATGTTCTTGCTCTACCTCCCAAGTGCTAAGATTACAGGCTTGCATTACCACATCCAGTTTTATACGGTGTGAGGGCTTGAACCTAGGGCCTTATGCATGCTGGGAAAATTCTCTATCAACTAGCCTACGTCCCCAGTCACCGTTGAAAGGACAGCCTTAATAGTGGCTGGCCTTGCTGGGCAGTGGTGGTGCATGCATTTAATCCCAGTACTTGGGAGGCAGAGGCAGGTCGATCTCAGTGAGTTCGAGACCAGCCTGGTCTACAGAGCGAGTTCTAAGAGAGCCAGGGCTGTTACACAGAGAAACCCTGTCTCGAAAAACAAAAAAAGCAAAACAATAGTAGCATAATAACAGTGGCTGGCCTTGGTACTTCATTGCCTTTCCCAGGTTGACTGGACTGAATACAAGCAGGCTTTCAGCATCCATCCCCGAGCTTTCTGTGGGCCCAGCTGCCCACACCAGGTTCATTGCCCAAATGAGGCATTGCCCTGGCCCACTGTCCAAGTGAGGCCCAGCCCAGCGCTGCTAGCACCACTCTGAAAGCTCCTTCATCTAGAGGCTTGGGGCCAAGAAGGGATCCCCCAACAGTTCTGAACCCAAGCAGACCCAGAACAAGGCCCACCAAGGACTTGAAATGGCTTTGGGGGTCTCTGGGAAGTGGGTAAATTAAAGTGGACCCGGCCAGATTCTCAGGACTGCTTCCTGACCACAGCCACTTCCCTCCTGAACAGAAGGCTCTCAGATGGAAACATCCTCTCCCTCGGGGGTATTTCCAGTGTCTAGTCAGAGCCAAAGCCCAGTTCGGCAGAACCGTATATGCCACTGTTGCTACGACTCAGGTTTCACAATGCCAACCACCGCCCTCTTCTCCGCACTCTGCAAAGGGCATTGGCTTAACGTGGCCAGTAACCATAATTCCAGTCTGCTTTGTAAATATCTGTCCATGCCAAAACCCACAACAGTGTGTTTCTTTTCCAAGAGGTTAGAATAAGAACCAACCACCCAGGGAGGTGGGGGTGTCTCTGTATGTGATTGCTTAATGTCCTGTGACTAATTTGGTTTCTTTGTATCCAGAAGACAGCTACCTTCCTCCAAAAACTGTTGTCTTTGTTAAGTACAGAGTTATATAATCATTCGTGTTTCCTTTTTCTCGTTGGCTTCCAGGAAGCTCAGTGCTGAATCTAAAAGCCCTAACTGCATATCTCAGTGATTACCCTGTGTTGTGACACCACCCTTTTATGTCTCCTTGTTTTAACTGAGTCTGTGTTTTCTTTTTTTATTGATATTTATTGAGCTCTACATTTTTCTCTGCTCCCCTCCCTGCCTCTTCCCTCCCCCCTTCAACCCTCCCCCAAGGTCCCCATGCTCCCAATTTACTCAGGAGATCTTCTCTTTGTCTACTTTCTACTTCCCGTGTAGATTAGATCTATGTACGTCTCTCTTAGTGTCTGCATTGTTGTCTAAGTTCTCTGGGATTGTGGTTTGTAGGCTGGCTTTCTTTGCTTTATGTTTAAAAATCACCTATGAGTGAGTACATATGATAATTGTCTTTCTGGGTCTGGGTTACCTCACTCAAAATAATGTTTTCTAGCTCCATCCACCTTCCTGCAAAATTCAAGCTGTTGTTATTTTTTTCTGCTGTGTAGTACTCCATTGTGTAAGTGTACCACGTTTTCCTTATCCATTCTTCAGTCAAGGGACAGTTAGGTTGTTTCCAGGTTCTGGCCATGACAAACAATGCTGCTATGAACATAGTTGAGCACATGTCCTTGTGGCACGATTGATCATTCTTTGGATATATACCCAAAAGTGGTATTACTAGGTCTTGAGGAAGGTTGTTTCCTAATTTTCTGAGAAATCACCATTCTGATATCCAAAGGGGCTATACCAGCTTGCATTCCCACCAGCAGTGCAGAAGTGTTCCCTTTTCCCCACAACCTCTCCAGCATAAGTTGTCATCAGTGTTTTTGATTTTGGCCATTCTTACAGGTGTAAGATGGAATCTCACAGTTGTTTTGATTTGCATTTCTCTGATGACTAAGGATGTTGAACATTTCCTTGTACTCCAATTTTTTTATTTATTGGATTATATGATCTTTTGGTGTCTAATTTCTTGAGTTCTTTGTATATTTTGGAGATCAGACCTCTGTCTGATGTGGGGTTAGTGAAGATCTTTTTCCATCCTGTAGGCTGTCGTTTTGTCTTGTTGACTGTGTCCTTTGCTTTACAAAAGCTTTTCAGTTTCAGGAGGTCCCATTTATTAATTGTTTCTCTCAGTGTCTGTGCTGCTGGGGTTTTATTTAGGAAGTGGTCCCCTGTGCCAATGTATTCAAGTGTACTTCCCACTTTCTCTTCTATAAGGTTCAGTGTGGCTGGCTTTATGTTGAGGTTTTTAATCCATTTGGACTTGAGTTTTGTGCATGGTGATTGATATTCGGGTCTTCTATTCAGTTCCAGAGTCTGTATTTTCTAATTCTAAACTGCTCCCGGTCTAGTTTTCTAGAACTCACAGAGATCCACCTGCCTCTGTCTCCCGAGTGCTGGAATTAAAGGTGTGCGCCACCACTGCTGGCTTATTTTTACAGAGGTATCATACTAGGCTCAGGCTGGCCTGAAGCTCACTATGTATGTAGTTCAGGAACTCCCCTTGTGAGAGCCTGGCACTGCCAAACGCCCACAGAGAGGAGCAAAACAAGCTGCTGGCTTTGTCAGCAGGGGGTCCAGGGAGCTGAGTCCCCTTTCAGGAGGCCATTTGGAGGACTGGATTGAGCGTGTTTAGAACACCTGTCGTTTCAACTTAGAAGTCGTGTTTCTAGGAGTCTGTGCCATGAAGATGATCCACAATACGGAAACATTCCTTGCCAAGATATGTTCACAGTGGGCTGTTCATACTGAACACGGAGTCGATGCAAATATTTGGTAGCCCAGGAACAGTCCGGACAGTGAGTTCGCTTCTGGAGAGCAATTTTACCCATCTTGGCTAGCAGCTATGAGGCAGACAGTAAGCCAGCGCTGTGGAGGAACTGGAGGCAGGAGGCCTTGGTGTTCAAGGTCATGCCTAGCTACACACTGAGTTTTGAGACCAGCTTGGGATACATGAGACTCTTTCCAAAATCTGAAACCATGTCTGTGAAAGATAAAAAAAAAAAAATCACTTTTTTATCCACGTAAACCAGATTTCCAATATTCAAACCCTAGGTCAGGGCTAGGTTTAGACTTTCCCCAGTGCCCCACAGTTTGAGAACAGCCAGTAGCTCCTCCAGCTGCCACCTCAAAGGGAAGGAGAGCTTCTTCTGAAGCCAAATGTGAGTGACCATGGTCCCAGAACATGAATTTAGGTCACCCCCAAATAACACATTCTGATCTGATGATAGTGTAGTGAAGGTTTCCTAATAACACAATAGAATGAAATTATAAATGGAGGTAGTTTTAAAAATTTTTTAAATTTCAACTTAAGCTGGTCAGGTAGTGCACACCCTTAATCCCAGCCCCTGGGGGGCAGAGGCAGGCAGATTTCTCTAAATTCAAGGTTAGACTGGCCTACGAAGTGAGTTTTGGCACAGCCAGGGCTACCTAGTGAAATCCTGTCTCAAAACAGGCCCCTCCCCCCCAAAAAAAGAGCTAAAAAGTATTTTTAAATATTTATTTATTGCATGTATGAGTGTGTGTGCCACTGCACGCATGTGGGAGGGGACGTGTGTAGTCTGGTGGCAACCATCTTCACCCTCACCAAACCATCCGCCATCTCAACTCAAGACAATTTGGCTGGGAACCTTCACATTCCAACTCTCCAGCGGCGCGAGGAATCTTAGACGCTGTCTTGCACGGGCGTGGGCTTTGGGGGGTTTGTTGTTTTTCTTCTGAGAACTGGACACAGGGGACTCCCTGTTTACACTCGTCACTCCACTCCAACCTTCCCACATCTGTTCTCGAGTCCCCAGTCCCATTTTCGTTCAGATCCATTTTGTGATCTCTGAGTCTAGTAGGTTGGCAGTGTGCCTTCTCAGGCAGCTTCCTTGCAGCCCGCACCCCCCAGGAGGCGGGGCTCAGACCTGGTTCTCCCCAGCAGCACGCAGGTCAGGGGTCACTGCGCTGGGTGTGGTCATCACTCATTCTCTTTTCTGGCTATCAAAGGTGCAGATAATTAATAAGAAGCTGGATCTTAGCAACGTCCAGTCCAAGTGCGGCTCGAAGGACAATATCAAACACGTCCCGGGCGGCGGCAGTGTGAGTACAGTCACACGCTCCCTGCAGTGCGCTGCAGCCTTTGCTGAGACACGTGTCATAAGTGTGTACTTGGGAAACATTGCAGAGAATAAATCCCCGCAGGCTCAGGGCCTCTGGTGTCCCTACACTTAGGTTTGCTGCCCCCAGACTCCCCTCCCCATGTTCAGTGAAGAACCCAGCAGAATCGGGACAGCAACTGGCTCCGGCTGGCCCTTCCCTGAGAAGCTGGGTCCCCGCAGTACCGTGCCCATGTCCCTAGAAGCCCCACAGCCTGCTAGAAATGGGCTGAAGACTGTGGCACCCAAGCCTGGACTGTCACCTCTCCGGAGCCTCATCTCTGGAACAGTTCTTCTGTGGATGGACGGTCCATATGATCTGAGCAGATGCTAAGGGCTTCCTGTCCCATGTCAACGGCAGAGAGGGTCCTAGTCACCCTCCATTTCTCATCTGGGAAGCAATTCCTAAGCCTCAGTTAAAGTTTAAAACCAGCCCCCACTCACCCCCCCCCCCAATACAGGGACTCTGGCTGCAAAGAGTCTAAGAGAGCTTGCGGGTGGTATCTATTGCCCGAGTCCGGTTTGCCAGAGAAGATTGCTTAGGGTTTTAAATTTGTCCTCTATACACCACTGGGGACCCAGCTTATCGGCAAGTGAGTCAGTGCGAGATGTTCTCAGGCTTCCCTGATGGGCTTAAAGACTCCAATATCCTCCTGGCTAGCCTGTGTCCACAGGGCAGGATATGCAAACTGGCCTGGGTTTCTCCAGGCCAATTCCTTCATCCCCAGCTCTGGGTCAGTCCCAGGAGAAGCCCTGGCTCTCTGAGAGAGTTCCTGCTGGCTCAATCTTGTGACTGTGTGCCCTGGCCCACAGGGTTTATTCTTGCAATGTGCTTCTGCCTCCTGCCCTGGCACCTGCCCTGCCTTCTGCCTCTCGGACCTTTGGCCCCAGAGCAGCAAGTGCTGGCCTTGTGGCTACTGCTTCTTATGCTTCCTCACGGTGTCTGCTGTTTCCTCTGTCCTCTACTCACGGTGCTCCTGCCATCCCCACCCTGTACTTGTGTTTTTTTGCTTCAGAAGGAGAGGCACGGCTGTTGGCTACACTGTAGTTATTGTCCAGCCTGATGCCCTCTCTGTGTACATTCAATAAACTGTTCTAGAAAGAGATGGGTGGGGGAAAGAGATGGTCACTAACGACTCCCATTGCTGTCTTTGTCCCTGGGCCCTTTAATGTTGTCATTTAGGGTGTGTTGACCTCCCAGCCCAGGCCTGCTGTGGTTGGGGAGGAAAGACAGGGCATCTGGTTTGGCTCATGTCTGGCCTGCTGCTGGGGCTGAAGGCTCTGGCTCCAGTGGGCTGCAGAGGGCGGATGCCCCTGCAGGGGAAATGGGGAAGAGCCAGTGCAGGGCAGCTCTGGTCACATGCTGGTTGCCTGATGAGGCTCCAGTGCCCAGGATGTCAGGGAACTTTCCTAATGTGTGCAGCAGTGTGTCAGCCTGTGGACTGACCTATGACCTTATATAGAGTCACAAGATAAACTATGGGCTGACCATGAGGACTGTCCTTGGCCTGTGGCCACTGTTGTCTACAGGATGGACCTGTAGAGAAAGCTCTCTTGAGGGAGGGAGCTGGTGGTTATAGCCTCTGGCATTTTGGGTTGCAGGATCCCTGGCCTGGACTGCACATCTGGCTTGTTGCTGGCTCTTGCTAGGGTAGAGGGACTTGCAGCAGGCAGGCTGCTCCTCCATCTGTGCCTCCTGGCTGGGCTGTGGCCTCCTCTCTAGGGCTGCTTCCCCACGCCCCGTGCATTCCTTCCTCCTCTGGTCATTCCAGGCTTCCAACATCTCTTACCCTGCCACACCCTGCCACTGACTCGAGACTCTACCTGGGCCTGGAAGAGTGAGGCTCTGGTCCCTCTAGCATTCCTGTCTCCTCTTGGAGATCTCAGGCTCCCATGGGTTACAGAGCGCAAGTTCTCCTGTTGGGGGAGCCAACCCCTTTGCTCTCCCATCATCACCTGCCCCAGAACTCCCACTATACCCTGGAAATGTCTGCAGAAAGTCTTCGGGACCATCTGCTCTTCGTCCACTTTCACAGGGGCAGGGTGACACCCCAGCACACTGACGTGTGACTCCAGCACACTGACCGGTGAGGCCACAGCCCGCCTCTTCCATCAAGTCCATTAGCAGAAAAAGAAACACATTGCGCGCACACACACACACACGCGCGCGCGCACACACACACACACACACACACACGCACACACCCCACAACACAGCATACAATCAGCACAGCTCTCCATGAAAATGAGAGGGGTCTGTCCGTTTAGCCATCTATAGAACCTTGCTTTGCCAACTCTCACATGGACAGGAGATGACCCTCTCCCTCACTGGAATGACCCCACTGGTGGCCTATATAGGAGACCCATTTGGAAGGTGGCAGTTAGTGACCAGCTCTCTATGCTGCAAGCCACAGTTCTGAGAGACTGCCTTCCAGGAGCCCCATCTACCTGGGTGGCCTCCTTCAGGGTGTTCTCTCGGGACGCAACTGTCATTCCCCAGAGCAGGCCTTTCTGCTGTGCCACATGAAGGGTCCTCGGGCTGGCAGGTCTCTCTGTGTGTCCTGTCTGCTCACTCACGCTTGCTGAGCCACTAAGCCTGTGATTTCTGCTGTGTGCCTGCTCTCCCTGTTAGTGTCACTTTGCTTTTTCCAATAGAGGATGAAGTGTCCAGGGGACACCACATGGCTCTTACCTGAGTCATAGCACTGTCCTGGGTCCTGTATGCCACCCGATGGTCCAGGGCTGTGGGAGTTTCCTGGATGTTCACTCCTCCTTGCCACCTCTCCTCTCTGAGTCCCTTCTGAGGAGATCACCTGGAGGCTGCAGGCCACTTCCTCCACTTCCAATCACTGTGTGTGATTGGTCTTTCCTCAGTGAAAAGATTTGTGTTTATATATTTAAATATCTGCTAAATAGTGTGATCAAGGACCAGGCGTCCCTGTTTTTCCTTGAGAGTTTCTTTGGGTTTCTGGAATTGAAGATGGTCCCATAGTCACTTTGTGAGGACCCAGTTTTCTGGGGGCGTGGGGATTGTCTGGATTTGGGAAGCATATTATCCTCCCTGAGTGGGGTGTATCGGAAGCTGGTGGAAGCCACTGGCAAGTGGTCCATTGGAATTTGCTTTGTGTTACCCCCCTAGTAACACAACCCCCTTTATTCTCTGTCTCATTCCCACCCTTTCTGACCTGCAGGTACAAATTGTCTACAAGCCAGTGGACCTGAGCAAGGTGACCTCCAAGTGCGGCTCCTTAGGCAACATCCATCATAAACCAGGTAGCCCTTGAGGAAGGCAGGCTGTGGGATGGGAAGGTGCTGGCTAGGCCGGCAGGTGCCTCCTGGAATACAGCAACCTGGGCAGTAAGCATTAAATGTGAAGGTGCTGTGTGACCCGGGAGGTGTGACTGTCCCTGCCGGCTCCTGAGCAGGGCTTTTCCAGCCTAGACAAGGGGTGGAGGGAGAGGGAGAACTGGTTCCAGATTCCATCGTGTGGCTCTCCAGAAAAGCCTGTAAGACAGGACCAGCCGTGGGACTGATTGGACCCCCAAAGGCCAGTTCTGTGGACATCTCAGCTTTGTCTCCGCCAGCACAGGGGTCACTTCAGCAGCTATGACATAAGACCTTTCTGGGCTGTTGTCCTACCTTCGCTGTGACTTTGTTTAAACAAAGCACCCTTCCCAGGATAGTAGTACAAGTCACCTCCCCTCCTGCTACACCCTGGTATGGTGACCCAAGTCAAAGAGGCAGACGGGGTTAGGCTCTCTCCTCATTGTGCATTTGACATGCAATGTGATTCCAAGGTCTTGAGGGGCTGTGGCTTCAGGATGCTCAAATGAAAAAAATCTCCATTGCTGGAAGTTTAGAGTTCAGCATGCCTTCTCCTGGCCAAGCTTCCTGTACCTTTGAAGCATCTCAGGAGAAAGATTTTGTGGAGTAAATACCCGATGTACATCTCAATTAGAGAAGGGGCAGGTGATTTGGAAGCCCTTACAAGGACTCCCTTGTGGCCAAGCCTCCTTCCAGATAAAGCAGAGCCCCGACAACTCCCAGAGGGTGGGCTGTGCTTGTGATCCCTGACCCAGCCTCTGCAGGAGTCAGAATGGGCACATTAATGAATGTTCCCTGCCAGGATGGTGACAACTAACCTAATTGCTATCAAGCCTCCAGCAGCCCCGGGCACTTTGCTCTGCAGGCCGTGACCTCATTTAATATATGCTAAGTCCCCCAGACCACAGACGATGACAAGAGTCTCTTGTGTGGGTTGTGTTCCAGGAGGGGGCCAGGTGGAAGTAAAATCTGAGAAGCTGGATTTCAAGGACAGAGTGCAGTCGAAGATTGGTTCCTTGGATAATATCACCCACGTCCCTGGAGGAGGGAATAAGAAGGTAAGGGGGGACAAATGGGGAGGTCACATGGGGAGGGGGGTTAGTGGAGTGAGCTAGGCCGGTCCTAGAAGGCCCCATATGGACTATCTAGCGATGGGTTCTCACCCTGAGCTCAGTGTACCAAGAAACACGGCATGAGACCAAAGACAGATCTTTTCCGCTGGTTGCCAGGAAAGCTAGCGCAAACTAGCGATACTGAGGATGAGCCTCAGCTGGTAGAGCGCTTGCCCAGCACGCACAGAGCCTGGGTTCTTTCCCAGCACTGCATAGACTGGGCATAAACTGTAATCCCGGGTGGAGGCAGGAGGGTCAAGGGTTCAAGATCACCCTTGGCTGCATCGTAGGTTTCAGGCCAGCCTGCACTACCTGAGATTCTCAGCAGACAGACAAAGGACAAAGTCTGCGGTTCTGAAGAGAAGTGCTCCCACTGCTCACACTGAGGCTGCTGTGTCTTGTCTCAGGGCTGAGGACTGGGTACCTAGTAGACATGGGTATGTGTGGGGTAAAGGCACACAAAGGTGTGTGTGGCTCCGAGCAAACTCCTCTTGCCCCCGCACAGGGTGTGATGAATGTAGGGCCGCCCTGGCTTCTCCTCTTTGGTACAAACCACCTCCACACTTGCCTGGCCCAGTATCGTGCAGGTAGTCTCCTCGGCAGGGTCCTCCCGGGAAATAACTGAACAGAGGGAATTTTCTGGAATCAGACCTAGCCCAGCACGAGAAAGGGTACTTACCCAAGGTGGCTCAGTTGTCTTTCTACTTGGCCATGTTGGGTGGTCCCTGGGAGTCCCCTGCCTGGCAAGTCCCTACAGCTCCTTGCTTTCCTCTGCAGCTGCATGCCTGCATCCACTGCTTATATAAAGCCCCTGGTGACCATGAGGCACCAGAACAGCTGAAACGCCTGGCCGGCACACACACAGCCAGCAGGCTGAGGGGTTCTTCCCCGAGATGGCCTATAAGGGCAGATCCTCTGGTCTTTAGGACCCCAAAGCGGACACAGACCTTTGTTGCCCGAGAGCAGGAGATCCTCCAGTCTTGGAAGCTGACAGAAGCTGAAGAAAGGAGGCCATACCTGAGGGTTACTGGGCAGGCTCCCTTCTCTGGGAAGGTGGGAAAGCCTCATCAATGGCCAGAGTTCTGCTAATTCTGCCGCACATCGCTCAATTTAAATACAAAACCTCCTGTATTTCGTTCCCATACGGGACCTCTTGGCCATAGGCAGTCATAGGCCTGACTCTACCTCAGTCTGATCCAATAGGACTGGAGCAGATCTAGGCCTTGGAGATTCCCTGGGTAAGGGAAGTTCTCCACCAACCTGGGAACTTCTATGCCCTGGGGGAAGCTCTGGGCAGGCAGGACTCCCCCGGGGGCCTGATGTAGGCCGAGCTTCAGTGTGCGGGCCTGTTTCTCCTTCAGAGAAATACCAGCACCCCAGAGGTGGGGTGAGATCCAAACAAAAGAAGGTCCCTGTGTCCTAAGACTGGAAAGCTGGAGACAGGTGGATCAGGAGTTCAAGGTTACCCCTGAGCTGCACAGAATTGGAGCCAGCCTGGGCTACCTGAGACCTTATCTCACAAAACCAGAAACAGCTGGCCATAGTGAATCAAACACCTTTAATCCCAGCGGCAGAGGCAGGCAGATCTCTGTTGAATTTGAGGGCAGCCTGGTCTATATATCGAGATCCAGGACAGGTGGGGCTAATAGAGAAACCCTGTAACACACACACACACACACACACACACGCACGCACGCACGCACGCACGCACATGCGTGTTTACATACACACGTTTTAATGAAAGATTCTCTCAAGTACAATAATATGGAAGATCCCTGTTAACCAAAAAGAAGAGCATACGAACGCCTGATTTTTCTCAATGTCCACAGTCAAGCTCCCAGCAAGAAGGACTCTTCACCTAGGGTCTCTGACCTCAGAAGTTGTATGGAAATACCGTGTGTGTGTAGCATACATATATGCACACTTGGCTCAAAGTCTGGGATCCAGAACAAGGTTGAGACATTTTGTGTCTACCCCTTTTATGTAGAGACATGCCTCAGACTGCTTTCTGCTTCCCTTTAGACTACTGGCTATAGCATTGTGTGTCTGCACCCGCAACTGTGTGTGTGTGTTGCATGTACATGAGTATGCAAGTGAGCACACCCATGTACATACATGCAGAGGCCAGAGCAGAACATTAGGTGTCTTTCTCTTTCTTTCACTGTCTACCTTTTTGCCTTGAGACAGGGATAGGGTCTCTCACTGAACTGGAAGCTTGCTGTTTTTGCTAGACTGGCCACAAGTGAGGTTCTGGGATGTAACTGTTTCCATCCCCAAATGCTGAGTTTACAAGTTATAGACATGCACAGACCTGCCCTGCCTTTTTACTTGGGTGCTGAGGATTCAAACTCAGGCCTTTGTGTTAGCAGAGCAAGCACTCCTATCCACTGAGCCATCTCCCTAGGCTTGTGATATCATTTCTTAAAAAGGGCTTTTTGGCATTACAACTTCTAGGTGGGTGCCACCTGAAAATACCTTAATAATCTTGGACAAAGAGTGTGTGTAGCTGTGACCGCTGGTACCAGTGATTCTACAGCAGGCCCTTTTCTCTTGTGGCTACCCCTTTGGTGCTTTTAGCAGCAAATTGGCAACAATCTAGCAAAACACAGAGTCCAGAGCAAGGGGTGTGTGTTCAGCATGCCTGAGGCTACGGGTTGCATCCCCAGCACAATTAAACAAACAAACAAACAAACAAACAAGGGATGGCGGGATTGCTCAGTGGGTAAGAGCACCAGCTGCTCTTCCAGAGGTCCTGAGTTCAATTCCCAGCAACCACATGGTGACTCACAAATATCTGTAATGAGATCTGGCGCCCTCTTCAGACCTTAGGCATACATACAGGCAGAACACTGTGTACATAAACATAATAAATCTTTTTTTTTTTTTTTAGATTTATTTATTTATTATGTATACAACATTCTGCCCGCACGCCAGAGGAGGGTGCCAGATCTCAGTACAGATGGTTGTGAGCCACCATGTGGTTGCTGGGAATTGAACTCAGGACCTCTGGAAGAGCAGCCAGTGCTCTTATCCTCTGAGCCATCTCTCCAGCCCCCATAATAAATCTTAAAAAAAGAAACATAAGTAAATAGTCATACATATTTAGGATAATATACCCATGTAAAATGATGCATGCAAAGTCACTGGAGGTTGTTCCTATTCGGCATTGTTTGTAGTTGCAGAGAAATGGAACCTCCCCCACTTCTGTCAGGGAGGAGATAGATTTCGATGTAGATGCTGTAATGGGATAGAATAAGTAGCCCTTGGCATGAGGAAGTTCTCTGTGGAATAATCAAGTATTAAGCCTGAACCTTGGTGGCACACACTTGTAATCTCAGAAACTGAGAGACAGAGGGATTCCTAAGGATAGCTAGTTCCAGGCCAGCCTGGGCTAAATAGTAAGATCTTGCCTTAAAACAAGCCAGGCCAGTGAGATTGCTCAGTGGGTAAAGGTGTTTGCAGTCAAGTCTGATGCCCTGAGTTTGGTCCCCAGGACCCAGATGTTAGAAGGAGAGAACCAACTCATACAAGTTGTCCTTTGATCTCCCCACATGCACTAGGGCACATGCATGCACATACACACACACATACACACACACAGACACATTCACACACACATTCACACAAACACAAATGAATGTAGAAAGATTAGACAAACAGCCAGGTGTGCTGGTACATGCCTTTAATCCCATCACTCAGGAGGCAGAGGCAGGCAGATCTGAGTTCCAGGTAAGCTTGATCTACAGAGCCAGTTCCAGGACAGCCAAGGCTACACAGAGAAACCCTGCATCAAAATAAAATAAAGGAATGAACCGGGCAGTGGTGGCGCATGCCTTTAATCCCAGCACTCAGGAGGCAGAGGCAGGAGGATCTCTGTGAGTTCGAGGCCAGCCTGGTCTACAAGAACTAGTTCCAGGACAGGCTCCAAAACTGCAGAGAAATATATATATATATATTCATATATGAGTGAATGAATGAATGAATAAAAACAGACAAACAAAAGAATGTTTTCTCCCTTCACAGAGTCTGTCAGTCAGGGCTTGTCTGCGTTCCCTAGGCTGTCACTCATCTCACCCTATACTTCTTGCAGATTGAAACCCACAAGCTGACCTTCCGGGAGAATGCCAAAGCCAAGACAGACCATGGAGCAGAAATCGTGTACAAGTCGCCTGTGGTGTCTGGGGACACATCTCCACGGCACCTCAGCAATGTGTCCTCCACGGGAAGCATCAACATGGTGGACTCCCCACAGCTTGCCACACTAGCCGATGAAGTTTCCGCTTCTTTGGCCAAGCAGGGTTTGTGATCAGGCCCCTGGGGCGGTCAATAATCGTGGAGAGAAGAGAGAGTGAGAGTGTGGAAGAAAAACAAAAAAGAATGATCTGGCCCCTCGCCCTCTGCCCTCCCCACTGCTCCTCACAGACCAGCCGACCGGCTTGTCACCTAACCTGCTTTTGTGGCTCGGCTTTGGCTGGGGACTTCAAAATCAGTGATGGGAATAAGAGTAAATTTCATCTTCCAAATTGATTCGTGGGCTAGTAATAAAATATTTTTTAAGAAAAACATGTAAAAACATGGCCAAACCCAACATTTCCTTGGGCAATTGCTATTGATTCCCCCCCCCCCCCCACCCCCCTTTGAGTCTTAGAGGGTGAAGGAGGCTCTGAAGGTTGTTTCTGGGGAGTTTTAAGGGACTAGGGCAACTGATTGCCACAGCCCCACCCTAGGGGCATCAGGGACAGCAGCAGCAACAAAAGGTTAGGAACTTGGTGTGTTTGTGGAGCTATAGGCAGGCAGGCGATGCTAATGTGTGGATGTGAAGCGGGCCTGAGGCAGCAAAGGCTGAGAGCTGGGTGTCAGGGAGTCAGAGGAGAGGGGAGGAAGACAGGCTCCTGCCAAGTCGCTTGGGAAGAACAGGTAGCCCCAGTCACCTGCAGCAGCCTTAGAAGGCACAACTGCCTGTTTGGTAAGGCCCTGGGAAGTATGTGCCCCTTCTGTAGGGCAGCTGGAAGGTGGTATCTTGTTGCTTGGTTCTCTGAAGGCTGACCTTGACATCACAGGGCACTGGTTTATTCCTCCCTCTCTGCAGGGTGGGAGTCCTGAGCTGAGGGGCTTCATTCTCCTCTCACAGAAAACCCTGCTTTACTGAGTTCTGAAGTTTGGAATTGCAGCCATGATTTTGGCCACTTCACAGACCTGGGACTTTAGGGCTAACCAGTTCTTCATAAGGACTTGTGCCTCTTTGGGGACATCCGCCTGTTCTCAAGCTTGGTCCTCTGGCATTTCTGCAGGGTGAGGGATGGAGGAGGGGCGGACAGGCCTCCCACCCCTCCCACAGCCACTGCAGCCCCTCCACCTGTCCATCACACCCACGTGTCTGCCGAGAGCCAGTCACTGCCGTTCTCTCATCCCGTCTCACTGTCCAGGGTGCTTAGCCTCCCCGCCCCCATCCTGGCCCTGGGTAGATGTGGGTAGTACCTGCTCTACACTAAGAGCTGGAGTCCAGGGAGGGCAAAGATTTGAAGCTCAGTCTCTAGTCCTACGTTCCACAAATCCAACCAGTGTGCCTGGTGATGACCCTGGACACTCTGTCTGCTTTTTTTTTGTTTTAAACTTTAAATAGTGGTTGCCTCCTAGGTAGGCCTGGCCCTCTTCTCGTGTTGAGCTGGAGGCAATTCAGGTGCCAATGTGTTGGCACCAGTAAGAGCAGACAAGACTCCCAGGGCAGGGCCACATTCCTCTCATCCTTCTCTTCCACCCCAGCTTGTGATTGCTAGCCTCCCAGAGCCCAGCCACCAGTAAGTCCCTGTGCACATAATCAGCCCTCCACACCCCAACTTGGGGAACATACCCCCTGGGAATGTTTTCCTCCAATCCCCATGGAAGCGGTGCTGCCTGCCCTGCTGGAGCAGTCAGACATCTTCATAGATACAGCCCTTCCCTCCCCGTCTACACCCTGTGCGTTGTAGTTGGATTTGTCTGTTTGTCTGGGTTCACCAGTGACTATGATAGTGAAAAGAAAGGAAAAAAGAAAAAAAGAAAAAAAAAGGATGCATGTATCTTGTAATATTTGTCAAAGGGTTCTAGCTCACCACCAGGGATGGAGGTCCTGGGTATTTCTTGGCTCCAGGCCAGTGCAGTGCTTCACTGCTAGGACACCCTATGTTTTCAAAGTTTTCCTCTGCAACTGGGACCTCACAGACACTGGATTGTGACATTGGAGGTCTCTTAGCTGCCCAGGCCTGAAACACAGGACCAGAGAGACTCCACCTGTCAGGGAGAGCTTCCTGCTGGCCTGTTTTGCAGAGTGAAGATGGTCCTGCCTAATCACAGCCTCATGTCCCACAGCAGCCCTGTAAGATGGGCTGATAACTACTGCATTCCGAGAGACAAGGGCATCAGTGTCAGCTGCGAGAGCTGTGGCCCTAGAAATCCCATGATTCTCCAGAAGACATCCTTGGGCCCTCACCACAGGGCTTGGGATGAACTGCCCCACTGAGGAAGGGGACATCGTAGGAGACTCCCTTGGTGTCCGAAGTGTCAGCCCACTGACCTTGCATGAGCATCTCCTACAGCTGCAGGGAAGAGGCCTCAGAAGCATAGGAGCCTCAGGCCCAATTCTATCACTTCTGGCTTGGATACAGTTAAGGAGTTAAGGACAGACACTGTGGATGGTAGAAGGAAGCAGCCAGCCTTTCCCATTAAAGAACAACCTATGGAGAAGCTCCCAGATGCTGACGGGCCCAATGGAGAAAAGGGAAGTGTGGCTTGAAGCATTGTCCCTTCATCATGGCTACCTATTCTGGTTTTTATCTTACTTCCCATTGTCCATTCTGCAGTTCCTGTCCTTGAATGGGAACACTAAAATATCTCTTGTAGGGAAAACAGCCCCAAAATAATTATTTGGAGTTATCAGGTCAGTGCTGGCTGATAGGCAGTTTACAATGAGTTTGGCTTGTGACTTCAGTGAGGACAATCCCCCAGGGGCACAGCACCTGTCCTTTCTTCCCATGCCTCCCTAGTCCAGAGCTGATGTCTTACTTAGGGTGGGCTAGATAGGGTATACCATATGCCTGGTTCCTCCAAGCTCTTAATTCACTTTATCAATAGTTCCATTTAAATTGACTACAATGGTAAGACTGTATCCTGTTTGAGATTGCTTTGTGCTATGGGGGGAGGGGGGAGGAGGAACATGTTAAGATATTTCACATGGGCAAACGGAAGCCTTGGAGTGTAGCCATCTGTAACCTTCATGATTATGACCACTTGCTAGAGAGAAGTGCCATGGCTTTAGCCTGGAGGCTTGTGACAGGCTTTCCCAAGGCAGAGACAGCCAGCTAGTTCCCTGCCTTCCCAGCCAGGTGTAGCTCCCAGGTTTGTGTAGGAATCTATGAACTACTCTTGTCTGCTGCCTTCTTTTGGTGTCCAGAGCCCACCATCCTGCCTCACCCTGGCTTCCTTCCCTCTAAGTCACTGGCACATCAGTTACCACTTCTGGACTGGCTTCAGATCCACAGCCTACAACTACTAGCAGTAGCCAAGACCTCTTCCTTTAGTCTGTTCTCCAGTGAAGGGCAGAGGTGGTAACCAACTATATGACTATGGTTTTATGAGCCTCCAAACCTCTCTCTGGCTTCTGGAAGGGTTACTTTGGGCAGTAGCTCAGTCTCACCCTCCTGATGGATTGTAGCCTGTGCAGTTACTGTGCTGGGCATGATCTCCAGTGCTTGCAAGTCCTATGATTTCTTTGGTGATTTTGAGGGGGTGGGGGAGGGACATGGAATCATTTTAGCTTAGCTTCCTGTCTGTGAATGTCCATGTAGTGTATTGTGTTTTAACAAACGATTTACACTGATTGTTGCTGTAAAAGTGAATTTGGAAATAAAGTTATTACTCTGATTAAACAAAATCTCTGTTCATGAGTTCCAAATACAAGAAAACAAATTTACAAGTTCCTTTCCATTGAGAATTCAGAACAGGAAATGAAAAGTAAAACCAGACATTGGAGCGGCAGTTTTGGGGTCCTGGAGATCTAGAGTACAGACTTGGTTTATTACCTTTGGCAAACTATCCTCAGACAAGGCTACATTACATTAGTTCCTAGTTCCCAGTTCATTTGAAGCAAAGAAGTTTGGGGTGAGGTGTATGAGATTCCTCACCCCTGGAACTTAAGTGTGGTGGTCTAGGCTAAAGTAAACTCAAAAGCCCATGTTGTAAATCCTACATGCATACCCATGTACTGCTGCTCTCTTACACCTTAAATCTTACTATAGATCTGCTAGGAATACAGCAGCTTCTTGCTTGCAACATCTCAATCTCTGCCCCAATTTAGTGCTATAGCATGTGACCAGAGGACTACCTTGGGTGTCAGTCTGTCCACCTTGAGACATTGTTCTCCTGCACATGTGTGTGCTGTTACCTGATTCCTTGCTGCTAAAGATTCTTGGATCTCAGCCTCCCATCTGACATAGGAACACTAGGATTACAGATGCCTGGCTTTAAGCTCACATTCAGGATCTCACACTGTACACTTCATCCACTGAACCATCTCCCTGAGTTCTTTGGTAATATGTCAAGGTCATATAGTCTTTAGATTTCCAATCTCAAAATACTTGTCTTCCCCAGTTCATTGATGTGCGTGGCCTCTGAAGGCAGCTGTTTTAGTCTAGTATATCCTGATGCATATAGAAGCAACACAAAAGCAGAAAAATGGAATAACAGCTGAGTCTTAGAGAAGGCTCTTAGCCTTCTTAGACAAAGTAATTTCCCCCAGGTAGCAAGAACCAACTTAGATACATGCAAATTACATACATTTTCATTGATCACTCCCCTCAAAGTCTGAAGGTGACAAGTAAAAATCCCCATTAAAGAGAAATTTGAAATTCTATACTGCTTACCTCTTAAAGGAACAATGAGAGGGAATAAATCAATTTTGCTTCACTTCAGAGCAGACTATCTCTTACCTTAGTCAAACACCCTTCACAACACCTAGCCAGCAAATCTCCAAACCCCAAAGAATGCTTGGGCTGCCACCATTGCCAGGCACACAGAGAATAGTATATCAAGAAAAGCATGACACATGACTTTCTGTATCTTTTTTTTTATTATTTTTTTCATTTTCCTTCCTTTTTTTTTTAAGCACTAGTCTGTGCTTTGCGAACAGAATCAAGACATTAACAAAGATCAGCTTCTCTGAAGAAAAGCATTTCTATAGAACAAAGACAGCTACATGTTCGCTGCCATTACACAGCTCAAAGCAGGAAAAGAAAATATTTACAAAATACAAGTTTTTTTAAATTTTTGTCTTTTTTTTGTTTTTTTTTACAATGCTAAAAGGGTTATTCAGAATTTTCAACCTTATAAATAGAAGAAGCACTTTATGCATAGGGATATGGTGCATTATTGTTGTTTAAAGAAACAATGACAAACCTTTTAACTTGCAAACAAAAAAAATCACTAATGTTGAAAATTGTGAAAAAACCCCAACCATTAAGCAGTCTGCCTACTATTTTTGTATAATTATAAAATGGCAGAAAAAGAAAATTCCTTTCCCCTCCCCTTTTTTTGGTGATGTGATCATACATAAGACAGGCACAAGGCTAACAGGAGGTTGGTGGGGACAATGGAAACCACAGCTAGGACCAGACAGTGTTCCACAGGCAAGGGGAGCAGAGATGAGGGAGTCTAAGTGACTGACAGGGACGTGAAAGAACAGGGCATGTGACTACTACTGAGTGAAAACATGGTAACAGAAGTGATGCTGTGTACTCTAGACTTCCTAACTTTTAGGGGTGTGGGGATGGGTTAAGCAGTCCAAACCCCTATCTTCATAGATGTTCTGAGTGGAAGGACTAACGTGTCTGTGTGCATGAACAGGAAAGATGGGAAAGGGTAGAATAGGGTGACCTGAGCAGCTGCAGCAGAGTACTGCAGCCAAGGAGCCAAGACAGATGACCGAATGCAGATGAAACTGGAAATAGGTCTTCAAGGTCCAGGTGACAAGGAGAAGCTAGTTGTACTGCTGGCTCAGAGCTCAGTGAGAAGACCTGGCCAACAGAGCAAAGAAGCTGGCTGGAAGGGAGCGCCAGCACAAGAAGACCAAGGAGGGGTGCCCAGCTAGAGCTAAGCTGGGTCAAGCCACAGACTGGAGGGAAGGGGTAAGAGCCCAGATTGCTTTTATTCTATCCCATCCTAACCTAAGGAGACTGTGCTGACTTGGAGCTTTCCACCCACTGCCACCTGGCTGGTCCACCCTACCCCACAGGTGCAAGGGAGAGGGTAATCATCTAACATTGGGAAGTCCAGTGATCCAACAGTGCAGAGGATATGCAGGACCAGGCCAGCAGGGTTTCTTCCTGAACTTGTCTGCCAACTGGAGGAAGTGCTCAGGTGTGACATGAAAACAAAACAAGGAAACAGAAACAACAAAACCAAACCAACCAAAGGAGAATCTAAATTCCTTAAATTCACTAAAAACTGTGAAAATTCCAGCATATGATGTTTGAATATCAAACGCAGAGATTTCTGAAGCTTTAATGCCAATAGTAGAGAGTCTATATAGAGTCTCATTTCCTGCTCATCTGTGAGTTGGGCGCTGAGCTGCGACTGCTGCTGTCAGATGCCGACTCTTGAGGGAGACAACAGGAGGTGAGGTGGGTGCCACCTCCGTCTCCCGACCAGTCTTGCTGCCTGAGGTGCGGCGAGTACAGCGTGCTGCCATGTCCTGTGCATCCAACTGCTCCTCACATTCTGCCTGGGGACTGTAGGCCAGAGGGAAGGTCCGCCGCTCCCATGGTTGGACAGACTGTAGACAGACAAGATATTCTGGTGATGACGACCTAGTTTCAGCTCATTTCCTGGGCCTTCACACTTGTGGCCCAGCGTTGATAACCAGACTGTCTACTACTATTGGGAGAAGTTTAAGAAGACCCCTCCCCTAAGGTGGGTAACCCAGCACATTTCTAGTGTACTTCAAAACAAGGGAGAGGAAAGCTCTATCTTTAGTATATGCTGCCTCCTCACATACCCTCCCGCCATTTAATGGAGATACCCCTCACCTGTTCATCTAGCCCCAGCTCTGGTGTGGAGCAACGGGTGTCTTCATTGGCCAAGTGTCGCAGACTGTCCCGAGCCACAGGGGTGAGGGGGGCTGAGAGCAGTTCTGGGCTAATGGGACTTCTAGGAGATTGACCATGGGAGAACTCTGACAGAGAGTGGCTACTACTGACATCAGGAGAGGCAGGCTGTGGGGTGGAAGGGTTGGCACTGCCCAACTGTGGGGTGGTCCGGCCGTCTGATGACCTGTAAGACCTATGAATCAACGAATAGACAAGCGAGTGAGTACCTAGGTAATAGGCATTTCTTCTGTTTCTTTCTGGGGGGCAGGGGTAGTGAGAGGAGGAGTTATGGGAGAAAAAAAAAGCATCTACTCCAAAGCAGTTAAAATTCGAACTGACAGTAATGATGTTCTAAGATTCATTAATTCCATTTGCTTCCACTTTTACTCACATGTAGGCATAAAAACATGACAACTAAAAAAAAAAAAACAAAAAAACAAAAAAACAAAAACACAAAATAAAAAAAAAAACCATGACAAATAAGCACTGAGTAACCATGAGTCTAAGAGAAAGTCCTGACTAGTGAATTCACAATAGGGACTAGTTGAGGTTTTGAAAACAAGTCAAAGAAAGATAGGTGGACTCCTGCCTCCGTCTTTTTAGTATAGTTTAGTGTGTGTGGGGAGAGGTATTAATGAGCATGAGCGAGGCAGAGGCAGGCGGATCTCTGTGAGTTCGAGACCAGCCTGGTCTACAAGAGCTAGTTCCAGGACAGGCTCCAAAGCCACAGAGAAACCCTGTCTCGAAAAACCAAAAAAAAAAAAAAAAAAAAAGAGCATGAGCACCATGTTGCAGCATAAGGCATGGAGTTGGACACCTTCTAGCTGAGTTTCTTCTACTGTGGGTTTCAGTAGTCAAACTTAGAGGGTGAGCACTTTGAACCCACTGAGTCATTTAAAGATAAGATTACAAAACCTGTCCTCATCAAAAAGAGGATCATATTGTGAGGCCTTCTAAATTCCTCCGGCTAAATCATCAGGAAACCAATAGGCCTGTAATCATACTTTCTTTGGCTACCATCCTCCCTCCTTCAACAGATTCTGGGAACCTGTGCCTGCCCATTACCTGCTGCCCCGACGCTGGGGTGGCACACTTGTGGTCCACAGCCACCTTGCCCTCTCCATCTCCTCACATTTGGCATGAAGGGCAGCAAATGCTGCATCAGAAAGGTCCTCAATCTGCAACAGAGCAGTTTCATTAATCTCTTTTTCCCAGGAAGCTAAGGTTATGAAATTGACAGAATAAATCTAGAACAACCCTCTCCAGAATGTAGATGCTTCTAGTTAGAGAGAGAGAAGACAATGAGCTCAAATTTGAAACCTTGTTTCTTTTTTTTTTCTTTTTGCTTTTCAAGACAGGATTTCCCTGTGTAATAGTCCTAGCTGTCCTGGAACTAGCACTTGTGGACCAGGTTGGCCTTGAATTCACAGGGATTCACCTACTTCTGCCTCCCGAGGGCTGGGATTAAAGGCCTGCGCCACCACCGTCCAGCGACATCCCTAAATCTTAAGGCATTTTGAGTGCATGCACCCATGACTGGTGTGTGTGTTCCTCTAAGACAGCATAACTATTGCATTACCTCCTCATTCTCTTCATCAGGACTCCCCTTCAGAGACTGAAGATCAACCTCTCGCCAGCTGAAAAACACAGGAATTTGAAAAAAAGAAAAGAAAGAAAATTATGGGACTGTAAAATTATGAAGCCTCACACGCAAATACCAACAAAGGCCAGAAACAGAAGCATCAAGTTGAGGCTGGTAAGACTGTCAAACTCAAGTAAAATTTT